ACAAGTGTTTGTGAACGCTCATCTAGACAGTCTGGATTCCAGACGAACTGGAACCATACCTACTATGGTGGACTCAGAAGTCGAATGTTTGCTGAGGAACCTACTTATCAGAGCCGGAGTCCAACACTCATCTCTATGCAGATGCATCTCTTCAGGGATGGGGAGCTCACCTCAACAACGAAGTGGCAGCGGGAAAATGGTCGAGTCAGGAACAAAGTCTGCACATCAACATGCTCGAAATGAAAGCAGTTATAAACGCCTTACTACACTGGTCCAGCATACTAAGGAACGCACAGCTGATGATCCATACGGACAACTCAACAGTGGCGTTCTACATCAACAGACAAGGATCAACAAGGTCAAGGAATCTGCTAGACCTCAGCTTTCAGCTATTCAGCATAATAGACAACCTGAACACCGACATAAAAGCATGCCACATTCCCGGAGCCAAAAATGTGATAGCAGACGCCCTATCTCGTCCAACGCAACCATCCCCGACGGAGTGGATGTTACATCCAGAGGCGTTCAGATGCATCATTCAGACGATAGGATCTCCACTGATAGACCTGTTTGCGACAAAGTTCAACAAACAACTACCAACATTCGTCTCTCCGATTCCAGATCCACAAGCATGGGCAACAGATGCTTTAAGCATATCTTGGGAAGGACTAAATGCTTACGCGTTCCCTCCTCCAGCTCTAATACCGAAGGTGTTGTAGAAAATCAAGCAGACGAAGAAGCTGCAACTGATTTGGTCGCGCCTTACTGGCCAGCGAGAGTGTGGTTTCCCATTCTCATTCAAGAACTCGGAAATACCCAACCCTGCAACTCCAAGAGTGGCCAAACCTACTAGTTCAACAGTATTTCAGCTACGCTCATGGAACGTATCACGACTGGCTTGAAGAAAAGAGGATATTCCGCCAGGGCAGCAAAAGCAGTCACATTAGCTCTACGTAGACAACAAGTGGCAGAGTTTTGAGAAATATGCATTGAGGAAGGGTTTCACGGCGATGAAAGCAAAACATCCTCAAGTGGCGGAATACCTTTGTCATCTAAGACAAACAAGGCGGCTAAAAGGGTCAACACTCTCTACATACCTAGCGGCCCTCAGCACAGTTATCATTATGAAGACGGGTGTGAAGCTGACCAAAGTACCAGAGATACTGGCATTACTACGCTCCTTTAAGTTGGAAGACCAACAAAAGAAGTTTAAGGCGCCTGCTTGGGATCTCAACGTGGTCTTGCAGCATCTCACCAGTGACACTTACGAACCACTAGAAAGGACATCCTATGAGAGGTTAACTCATAAAACTCTGTTCCTGATCGCCTTGGCAACAGCAGCATGGATGTCAGAAATACATGCTCTGGACTTTGAACGAACACGATTTGACGCACATCGTGACACTGTACATCTGGGATTGAGATGGGACTTCATAGCAAAGAACCAACTGCCTGGTCAACCAGACAGACAGTTCCATATCCCAGCACTCTCGTCAATCCTAGGGCCACAGGATACTCAAGATTTATCCCTATGCCCAGTCAGAGCTTTGAAAGTCTACCTACAAAGGTCGAATATTCAAGCGCGCCTTTTCATCCCTTTATCTACGGAGACGCCTACAGAGGTCTCACATACAACAATATCAATATGGATGAGAGCCGTCATATTGAGAGCCTACAAAGCAGCAGGACTTGAGCCTCCACGACCCTCCAATCCTCATGAAGTCAGAGCATTGGCGTCGACACTCGCTCTGCATGGGAACTGCTCCATCTCGACAATAATGGAGGGCTGCTTTTGGAAGTCGGAGACGGTGTTTGCCAACCACTACCTCAGAGACATGGCTACCGAGGACGTCTCTGGCATTCACCAGTTTGGGCCTCTTGTTGTAGCACAACAATTGACAGTTCCCCAAAGACGCTGAGATGAATCTCACCCTATTTATCATGCAACACTCGGAAGAGTTAGAGCTTTAGAGTCCATGGGCATGTCTAGGACAGGCTAGCATGAGTGACAGACCCTGTACTTGTAAAGGACTTACTCGTACATGAAGAAGGGTTGCTTCTCCACTTGATGCGAGCATCGAGATATGGAGTTGCATAAATCCACACATAATGTCAGGAGAAGACGATTCCAGAGAAATCTGACAAGTTGTGGTCCCCCCAGACTCATCAGAGGAAGCTGGAAGAAAGGACACAGTGCCATTAGAAGTTCCCTAGGGGGTTATGCAGGACGTAAATCAGCAGCTATGAATCCAGAGTGGCTTGACCCATCACCGGTTCCGTCGGATTCTACAAGCAATTAAGCATGAGTCAGGATAAGGAAAAATATGTAATTTTCTGATTAAAATTAATATTTTGTACTTATCCTGATTCATGAGGTCAGCCCTCCCATTAGTTCCACTATGTTCGCAAGAGGAAGGAGACAAGCAATTAAGCATGAGTCAGGATAAGTATAAAATATCAATTTTAATCAGAAAATTACATTATTCAGAGACTTAGCGTTATTCTATGAACATACTCTGCATATCCTGCAATCAACTGAAATCTCCATGGCAGTTGCTGGTTGTTTTTTTGAACTGAATGTTGATTTTGTTATGCAATCTTGAATGGACTATGCATAGACCCATTAGTCCAGCCAAAATATTACTGAGTTTGGCAAGAAACTTTAATATTGCATTATCTCCCCATATCTCAGGAAGATGCTTTTTGTCAAGCATGAAGCTAATTGATTATGATGCCATTCTGTTGTGCAGAACTTAATACTTTATCAAGCGGAAATCTGAACCAGGTACTGTAGCATCATGGCAGAAGTGAGTGGACACTGGAGGGCATCACACAGAAAAAATTCAGCATCGACATAGCTTGGCTCAGGACTTTTAAGCTACCCCTTTGTAACTGTTGCATTTTCAAAATCTCCTTTTAAACCACAGGGTTTCTGGTGTCCCCCGCCGTGATATTGCTGGAATATTGCTAAAAGCAACATAAAACCATACTCACTCACTCACTTTAAACCACAGGGCCTGTGAAGGTGAAACTTTGCAAGAATGAACTCAGCTATGGTGCTCAAAAACTTGCTCATTTTTTTAAATGAAAATGTCATTTCTAGCCCAACTGACTGGAAGTGTAGTGAGTTTATATTGTGGCCTGTTGTTTGCCATCTGTCTAAAGAGAGCTATAAATACCCGGTTTAGGAAGTCAGCTGGTAGGTTTGCCACATGTGTTCTATTTTTGTAATATTTCCTTTTTTTCCCCTTGATAATGGTCTTAAACCCCTTGTGAAAGGCATATTGGCTCTGTGAAGTTATTTTATTTATCAGATTCGTATGTAGTTCAGGGGAATATAGTATCAGTTTGTCTCTCTGTAACCATTGTTTGTCTATACCATATCTCGAAAACGTAGTGAAACTTTACACACAAAGGCTTGGTGGTCAAATGGTATTGAGTTTTAGGACGTCTAGTTTTTCTGTTTTCATGGCAACAAGTTTGACAACTTGTAACATGGTGCCATTTGCTGTTTAGGGAATAATGCAATTTTTATCTTTTCTGTTTCCATGGCAGCAAGTTTGACTTTGACAGTTTGTAGTGGTGTGTTAGTTTGGACCACATCTATGAAACTATATGGTCTGAAACTTGTAAAATGGTGCCATTTGCTCTTTAGGGAATTATACAATTTTTATATTTTCTGTTTTCATGAATGTGACTGAATGTATTTTTCTGGATTGTTTCTAAAACATATTCCTATTCTTCGTATGGTGTGAACACACAATGAGCACTTTCTAAAGTGGTGCTTTTAATTGACTAACTGCTATTTCAGAAAGAACACAACCACTACATATTAAAGGATTACTCTTCATTTTGAATAGAGATTTTATTCCATGTTTGATACAGTGTGTATTGCAGTTTGATTGGCTGACAAGACTGTCGTGTTTGCTTCAAGAAAACATTTTGTATTTGCCAAAGGCTCAGTCCTCATCGAATTCACGAACAAGATTGGAAATAGATAGTTTTTTTTATACTTGTTACATCTACTCTTAGATCTATAGCCGTTCTATTCTGATTTCTGCATTGAAGTCGAAACGTAGATCTAGAGTTCTGCATTCTCAGTTTTCACACACACGTACGTATCGTTTAGCTGTAAAACTTGTGATCTAAAGTCGATAATCGATTATGGTTTAAGAGGCCGATTCCCAACACTAATAACACACACACACACACACACACACACACACACACACACACACACACACACACACACACACACACACACACACACACACACACACACACACACACACACACACACACACACACACGCTTAATATGAATCATGATTCTCCTGTTTCACCATGAGCGTGATCTGTACTCAGAATTCAATAACCCGACATCCTCGTTAATTCGACAATTCAACAGATGATGTCGGATTAACAAGGTTTGACTGTATTTTATGGATATAAGCTTCTTTATTCTTTCCCACACAACGTTTCAGGATCATTACAGATCCCTTCATCAGGTGAAATGACAGTTGACACTATGAAGTCATAAGGCATGGAATCTAGTTGTGAAGAATTTCTGTGTAGGGGATAGCTGTCAGAACTCAACAGAATGATTGCTGAGAAACAACCTTTTTTAGCCCAGTTGTCCAGATGAGCCTACTGAGCTTTTTAGATTGGTGGGTCAAGTCAGGGAAGTCGTACATCTTTTTCTGACAAAGAGATGAAGAGAACTGAAATCTTGCGTTAAAGATAATGTTACGAGTCTGCCTGCAGTTGATTTTGTCTCCTAATCACGACTGTCCTCAGTGATGTTAACAGATAACTGACACATCTCAAGCACCACATGATGGAAATGGAATGAAATGGCATATGCAGAAATAGAACATTCAGACAGTGCCATTAGCCATTAACATCAGCTGTTATGTGTGTGGGGGGGTGATGAGTGTTCTGGATTATGAAACTTGATGTCATACAATGACATGGTGTAACTTTTGGTTGTTCTTGTTTCAGAAGAAAATCAGATCTCATTCAAGTGTCATATCCAGTGTGGAACCATCAACCCTCAAGAGCTCCGTGTATTTGAGGAGGTGGAGTTCACAGGAACATGCCGTCCCTGGGATGGTGATGAAGGTAGGTCATGTTTTCCCCAACATTTGAGTCGTTGTGTGAGGTACCTCTGATAGGAATACCCAGATCCATATATACTGAACGAAAACAGGGGATAGTTTTGTTAAATTGTCTACTCCATTTTCAATTCAACAATATGTTCTCAAAATTATTAATGATCCCTGACTGTTTAGTTCATTTGAAGAATTCTTTCCATGCAAGGAGCAACTGTGAGCTGATGGTGACTTGAACTGAGACTGGACTATTGCTTTATGTATCATGTTAATGTTTAAGATTGAGTAAAGCTGGCTGATATTTTTCAAACTGCATCCAATAGTTTGTTTCTGAGCTTAGACCCATGCTAATGTAATCCTATATAGCACTAGTGATGTATTGTTCTGCTGCAGATGCCCAGTCTGACACTGACAACTATGTATACATGCAATCACCCACCATGGATTCCACATGCCTCTGCTGTACAGTGAGACTACAGACAACCAAGATTATACGTGAAATGCCAAAACAAACTGACCTGGCAGCAGAATTCACATCCAGACATTCACTTGGCTGGAAATTTCTGTTTTTTGGATCACAGGTAAGTCTTGGATTAATTCTTGTATTACATTTAAAGTTTGCCCTTGTCAGCCTCTGTAGTGCAGACCCTGCTATACACCTAGGTATGCCCTTGTAAACATCTGTAGCCTGATATACACCTAGGTATGCCCTTGTCAACATCTGTAGGCTGCTATACACCAAGGTAATGCCCTTGTCAACATCTGTAGCCTGCTATACACCTAGGTATGCCCTTGTCAACCTCTGTAGCCTGCTATACACCTAGGTATGCCCTTGTTAACCTCTGTAGCCAGCTATACACCTTGGTATTCCCTTGTCAACCTCTGTAGCCTGCTATACACCTAGGTATTCCCTTGTCAACATCTGTAGCCTGATATACACCTTGGTATGCCCTTGTCAACCTCTGTAGCCTGCTATACACATAGGTATGCCCTTGTCAACCTCTGTAGCCTGCTATACACCTTGGTATGCCCTTGTCAACCTCTGTAGCCAGCTATACACCTTGGTATGCCCTTGTCAACCTTGGTAGCCTGCTATACACCTAGGTTTTACACTTGTTGCCTGTGCAGTGCATACATATGATTGCAATGTTTCTCAAAGTTCTCAGTGTTGCCTGAACTGTGTTGTAGGGAGTAAAACAGTTAAACAGAGTATGGTATGCTTGCTTGTTTCAGGGCGCCTCCAGTCATAGGTTACCTCCCCTTTGAACTGCTTGGCACATCCGGGTATGATTACTATCATCCTGATGACCTGGACAATATTGCCCGATGCCATGAACAGTGTAAGTATCAGCCTCTGTGTCAGTCAGCAGGCACCGCATGTGACAATAGGGTGGAGCTGGGACACCCCTGAACTTAAACTGTGCTAGTTCATAATGTACACTAAACATTCTTTTTTCTATTGCTATTAATTGTCAAAGCTCATCTACTATGACAACCTAAAGGATGCATTTTTGAACATTTGGTTAACTTAAACATGTAGTAAGACACAAACTGTACAGATAACATCACATGGAGTTGTACATGTGATGTGGCATATTGCCCGACAGTGAACACCTGGTGATGTGGCCTATTCTTTAATGGTGGACCCCTATGTGATGTGTGCTATTCTTTCATGGTGACCCCAGGGGTGATGTGTGTAGGATACTCTCTCATGGTGACCCCAGGGGTGATGTATGTAGGGTGCTCTCTCATGGTGACCCCAGGGGTGATGTATGTAGGATACTCTCTCATGGTGACCCCAGGGGTGATGTATGTAAGAATGGTGACCCCAGGGGTGATGTATGTAGGATACTCTCTCATGGTGACCCCAGGGGTGATGTATGTAGGATACTCTCTCATGGTGACCCCAGGGGTGATGTATGTAGGATACTCTCTCATGGTGACCCCAGGGGTGATGTATGTAGGATACCCTCTCATGGTGACCCCAGGGTGATGTATGTAGGATACTCTCTCATGGTGACCCAATGGGTGATGTATGTAAGAATGGTGACCCAGGGTGATGTATGTAGGATACTCTCTCATGGTGACCCCAGGGGTGATGTATGTAGGATACTCTCTCATGGTGACCCCAGGGTGATGTATGTAGGATACTCTCTCATGGTGACCCCAGGGGTGATGTATGTAGGATACCCTCTCATGGTGACCCCAGGGGTGATGTATGTAGGATACTCTCTCATGGTGACCCCAGGGGTGATGTATGTAGGATACTCTCTCATGGTGACCCCAGGGGTTATGTATGTAGGATATTCTTCCATGGTGACCCCATGAGTGATGTATGTAGGATATTCTTTCATGGTGACCCCAGGGGTGATGTATGTAGGATACTCTCTCATGGTGACCCCGGGGGTTATGTATGTAGGATACTCTCTCATGGTGACCCCAGGGGTGATGTATGTAGGATACTCTCTCATGGTGACCCCAGGAGTGATGTATGTAGGATACTCTCTCATGGTGACCCAATGGGTGATGTATGTAAGAATGGTGACCCCAGGAGTGATGTATGTAGGATACTCTCTCATGGTGACCCCAGGGGTGATGTATGTAGGATACTCTCTCATGGTGACCCCAGGGGTGATGTATGTAGGATACTCTCTCATGGTGACCCCAGGGTTGATGTATGTAGGATACTCTCTCATGGTGACCCCAGGGGTTATGTATGTAGGATACTCTCTCATGGTGACCCCAGGGGTTATGTATGTAGGATATTCTTCCATGGTGACCCCATGAGTGATGTATGTAGGATATTCTTTCATGGTGACCCCAGGGGTGATGGATGTAGGATACTCTCTCATGGTGACCCCGGGGGTTATGTATGTAGGATACTCTCTCATGGTGACCCCAGGGGTGATGTATGTAGAATATTCTCTCATGGGTACCGAATGGGTGATGTATGTAGGATACTCTCTCATGGTGACCCAATGGGTGATGTGTGTAGAGTATTCTCTCATGGTGACCCAGGGGTGATGTGTGTTAAATACTCTGTCATGGTGATCCCAGGGGTGATGTATGTAAGATACTCTCTCATCTTGACCCCAGGGGTGTTGTATGTAAGATACTCTCTCATCTTGACCCAGGGGTGGTGTTTGTAAGATACTCTCTCATCTTGACCCCAGAGGTGATGTATGTAAGATACTCTCTCATCTTGACCCTAGGGGTGATGTATGTAAGATACTCTCTCATCTTGACCACAAGGTTGATGTATGTAAGATACTCTCTCATCTTGGCCCCAGGGGTGATGCTTGTAAGATACTCTCTTATCTTGACCCCAAAGGTGATGTATGTAAGATACTCTCTCATCTTGACCCCATGGGTGGTGTTTGTAAGATACTCTCTCATCTTGACCCCAGGCATTTCTGGTGTCCCCCGCCGTGATGTTGCTGGAATATTGCTAAAAGCGACGTAAAACCAAACTCAGTCAGTCAGTCTTGACCCCAGGGGTGATGTATGTAAGATACTCTCTCATCTTGACCCCAGGGGTGATGTTTGTAGGGACATGGTGACCCCAGAGGTGATGTAAGTAGGGACATGGTGACCCCAGGGGTGATGTTTGTAAGATACTCTCTCATCTTGACCCCAGAGGTGATGTATTTAAGATACTCTCTCATCTTGACCCCAGGGGTGATGTATGTAAGATACTCTCTCATCTTGGCCCCAGGGGTGATGTATGTAGGGACATGGTGATCCAAGGGGTTATGTATGTAGGGATATGGTGACCCCAGGGGTGATGTATGTAAGGACATGGTGACCCGAGGGGTGATGTAAGTAGGGACATGGTGACCCCTGGGGTGATGTATGTAAGGGACATGGTGACCCAAGGGGTGATGTATGTAGGGACATGGTGACCCCAGAGGTGATGTATGTAGGGACATGGTGATCCAAGGGGTGATGTATGTAGGGATATGGTGACCCCAGGGGTGATGTATGTAGGGACATGGTGACCCCAGGGGTGATGTAATGGTGACCCCAGTAGGGACATGGTGACCCCTGGGGTGATGTATGTAGGGACATGGTGACCCAAGGGGTGATGTATGTAGGGATATGGTGACCCCAGGGGTGATGTATGTAGGGACATGGTGACCCTTACAATTGGTATAAACCACTGTACTTGTGTGTTGGGTAATGGAAGTGCCCTACATTGGCATACTGCTCACTGTTGGCTGTGAATGTTGCACATGTCTGGAGAAGTACAGTGTGTAGAATATTCACAGTACGATAGTGTGTGTTGGATAATGCAAGTGTACCCATAATCTGTCTGCAAAGGCTGTACAAGGTAAGAATATTTCCCACTCAGCTGAATGGTGTTTACAGGATGTATAACAATATCTGCACAGTTAAGAGATATTTTCAGCCAGTCCAATTCCTTTTACCACGTTTAGGTACAGTCTGACACCTTTCCGACTTCTTAGATTGAGACCTGTTGGTCTGGTATGAACATCTTTCCAAGAGCCACTGCAACGATGAATCTTAAACTTGTTTCCCTAATGAGTACTATCAAACACTAATTTGTTCTAAAGGTTCTAATCCAAACCAATATGTTGTTTTTGTTCAAAATTAGTTTTTCAGCATTACCGGTGATGCAATATAAACTTGAAGGTATTGGTCTGAAGAAATTAATTTATACTTTACATTGTACCAGGTACAATGCTTATTATTTTAGTAGCTATTTTTGCTATGTAATATTGAAAAGAATAGATAGTCATAAGAGCAGCAATTCGTTTTACTTTGTAACTTCTGTTTTCCTGTGGAACTAGTTTGATAAATCGTAATCAACGAGCTGGTGTTACATAGTCATCCCAAGGTCATGTTATTGCAAACACCATATTGATATTCATCAATGATGAATCTAAAATTTGTTCAAGAGCTTTGAATCTAGTTTTCATTATAGCCACCATTGTTAAATAACATTAGATGTTACCTTTGAACTTTCATCGTGCAATTAATTTCTCTGAAACTGCAGTCCTCTGCAAACATCTCCTCCTCACTAACCACTGGAACAGGGAAGCTGAAAATCCATATGACTGTTCCCACACATGATTACACCCCACTCTGTTCAAGAGATTTGTATCTGGTTTTCTTGGGGACAGCATGACAGCCTTGTCGAAAAAGCAGTTTATGGCTTTACTTTGCCAATTTTGTTCATTATGGAAAGAAATGACCTTTGAACCTGGTTCATACAGTAAATTTAGAGTAAGTTTAGAGTTCTTATGACCATTACTTAGCCATTTTTGTTGAAGAAAAGACACATATATGTATATGTTTTGGAAACAGATTAAGAGATGGCTTGAATGTACCTCCTTATGATATTTGTCCATAAATCCTCAGTATTTATGAAGAAATTATTTGAATATCAGAGACAACAGAAACTTTGGTAAGTGTCCATCTTTGTAGACATTTTGAGCGTCCGATGACACCTACAAGTGGGCTATAGTGTCATGCTACTATGTTTGATATACAGTAACACATCTCTGTTTACTGCCTGACAATGTGGACAGAAGGAATGGACTGAGCAGAAAATACAGTGCCTGGGGAACAGGGCATTTGCCAGCTTGCTTCAACTGTAGCTAGTTCCTTGAATGTTGAGTGATGACTGAGCTGAATGTACAGCAATGGCGGACAGTGTGTAGACAAAGTGATGCTTTATATAAATCTTTCACCCTTTATGTTACGTTTTCTGTTTGGTTGAAGAAACATTAAGTTATGTTACATGGTATGGCTGAAATGTTCTGAACCTAACTAATTAAGTACTGTAATTTGCAAGCTTACATGCTGCATTAACCCAAATATGCAGCATATTTCAACAAGTGACTAGGTATTGTGGATGTAGAGGCACAGAAAGGACCAGTATGCTGTTGGGTATCTCCAATTGAAAGGACCAAGTTCGACAGCCATCCATGCAGACTTGGCATCAACATTAGGGGATGATGTTCCTTCCTTTGTAATTATTAAGAGGTGGGCAACTAAAGCGAAATTCACATGATCCAAGATCAGCAAGACCTTCAACTGCCACTTCAAAGGAAAATGTTGATAAATACATAATGTGATTGAAGATGATAAACAACTTCTCACATATCCCATAAAAAATACAGTTAGAATGTTTTAACAAATGAACTTGGCATGACACAGGTTTCAGCACCATGGGATCCAAATCTTTCGACTCCTGATCAGAAACACTCCAGTCTAGGTTCATCCCGTTGGAAGTTGGGTCTTTTTGAAACAGAGTCTTGTGTTTACCACAGTAGCCAGAGACTAGTCAATCTTCAGAGCAGTGGAACCATCTGATGTTTCCTTCAAAGAAGGTGGCAAAGTTAAGTCAAGATAAATGCTCAGTAGTGTGCTGATCTGAATAGGCCACTGCTTGAGCATATCAAGGCTCAACATTATGGTAAACAAAATGAACTAGAAACTGTTTAAGGTGTTTTTTCCTCCAGGAAATCTGCACGAGTCTGATGTTGCTTTGGCTTCAATGCATGACAGTGGCTGTGAATTAATTAACATCATCTGTATTCTCCTAGTGTGTTACCATCAAATTTACCGGTAGACCTCTTTCCAGGATTTCAGAAAGAACTGTCTGGCAATAATTATGCAAATAATGTCATTTCTTCTTTGGTTGATATTTTACACCTCAGGAGGAAGCCTTCAGCACTAGTAGAGTCCAAAGACTCCTGCACCAATTACAGAAGGGTGTTCTCCAGAGAGGATTATATTGAAAAATAAATATCAACCCATTTTATCAATGCAGTCCATCACAGTTGGGCTCAGAACTACTCAGCCACCCCTTGTATGCTGTACGTTTCCTAGATATCAGGAGGAACTGTAATACTATCAAATCAAGATGTTTGAAGTAACCCATTAAACTGCTGTGCATACACTTGTGGAAGGGCTGCCTGTACATCATTGAATGGTGGTGTGTATAGCTGAAGGTGAAGCTTTTAGCTCCTGCTTGTAGTGGGTGTGCAGTTGTACCTTACTTCTTGGTGAATGATGGTTGTGACGTTCTGGTACTTGCAGTGATGCAGACTGGTGAAGGTACCTCCTGTCACTACCGCTTCCTTACCAAGGGCCAGCAGTGGATCTGGCTCAAGACACATTACTATATTACCTACCACCAGTGGAATTCAAAGCCTGAATTCATTGTCTGTACGAACACAGTTGTCAGGTGAGTTGTACATGTTTATAGTAAGCTAGTCTAATGGTCTGCTTCTTAAGCCCCGTGTTCACATGAGGAAAGTAGATTCTATTTTCTTTTGTATTGTGTTTAAATTGTAATTAAAATCATATATTGACAATATCATACTCATTTGATTTCCTACCATGACATTAAAAAGTGCATGATTCTGATTGGTCAGAATCAGGTTTCTCTGTTTGACTCTTCAAATTAACTTGCCTACTCACACAAATCTTGTGTGTGGAAACATTGATCTATCAACACCTTACGCTTATTGTTTTTATGAACATCCCTCGAACACTTGATTGCCTTTGTCCCTGAAACTAGTTTCTGAATCCACTGAATTTAAGTTTAAGGTTCATGTTTTTTGTGTTGTCTTTCTTCCTAGTGGTCCTTCAAACACTTTACACAGGAGTCATCTCCCCTAATGGAAGTACAGGGTAACCTGTGGCACACATGTACGCATGTGTTTACTTGTTTTCTGACAGATTTTGTCAACAGTTCTTATGTAAGTTTTGGATTCTTATTTGGTTGTCATGGGTAAATCAAAGGGCGTTAAATACATTTGTCCTCCGCCTTGGGTACAGAACATTTCTCAGCCTGCAGAAACTTCATGTCTTCTCAGGATCAGCATGGAGATTGCTGGGAGTGTGTTGACACTTTTTGCTTTTTGTTACCTGTTGCGAGGCTTGTCGGCCGCTGTTGCCATTAACTTCTTGTTAATAAGGTCAAAAAAAAAGATGGTGCAGAAATTGTGCTCCAGGACTCCACCCATGGTGACTGAAGCTAGGAGCTAGGCAACCCTCCTGTCCTATATGATCCTGGGACTCCCCATCCGTTGACCCAGTGGCTGTTAAACCCATGTTTGTTTCTTAGGAAGCCTTGTTGGAGGCTCTGAGGCCTTTTAGAGATTTGATAAAAGGTCTGGCGGATCGAATTTTGGCGCTATCACAAGATAGCAGCAACGTCCATGATCTTCCGCCCTTCCTCACACTGTCCACACCGGCTGCTACTGTCACCTCAGCTGAGGTAAACCTTGAGCCGCAAGGTATGGACCTCGACTTTGATCTTATGGACTGCACGTGTATTCATGGTCGGCGAGTGTTCATCAAGTAGAAGTCACATACCACATGGTCCACACGATTGTTAGGAGGTCAGCTGAACCTGTTGGAGGAAATCATAGCCGAGATAACAGGATAATATAACAGAGATAACAGTGGACACAGGGAGAAATGTTCCTGCATGGGCAGCTCAGGCCTTACAGAACACAGGCAGCATATGAGCAGGAGAGAAACTCCATGTGTTGCATGGGCCGTACAGGCAAAATACTGCAAGCCCAAGATACCACTTTTAATAGATGCTCTTCTCACAGAGATATGAAGCATTTTACAGATGCTTCGGAAGATCTGAATTTCACATCCATAGAATTAAGAATGGAATCTTCATACCACAATTACACCAGGTCAAGTTGGCTGCACCAGAAGTCCTATTTCCGGAGTCAATGCTGCCTCTACCTGATCAAGAAATTCAGTGACCAGAGGCTCCTCTCTTCAACACAAAAGTGTTACCTCAGTCATCCTTTGAGTCAAGGATTTGAATAAGGCATCGTCTTCACTCAAGTATTCAGACCATTTGGGCTGTTCTTCTCTTCAGGGAAAGGATTCTTATGAGACTTATTACAGAGATTTACAAGTCACTGTACTGTCCAGATGATTCATGGCTATCTTGACAGTATGAGAAAGTCAGTTTTTGATTCCCAGTTTTTGCGGGCCAATTTACACTGTTGAGGAGCAATCGTCATCTGCATCAGTTACATTTATCCACCGTGAGATGAGGCACATGCTGTATTTGCAGCCCCCTTGACGATCAGCTCTTCAATGCAAAAGTCCTTAAATCAGAGTAAGATAGGAACTTCCACAGTTCAGACAGGGCTCAAACATCAACTTCCTCAGCGCAAGTCAGACTTCAACTAAGAAATATTGAGATGTTTTTGTTTGGGGAAATAACTCCTGTGGATAGCCCTTTGAGGCCCACTAACAAAAAAGACAACACAACTCCATGTACTTTAAAATTTGTATTCAAGCTAAACCTGTGGATTAGAAACAAGTTTGAGAAAAACGTTGATGTACCCTGATATGTTCATTTTCACTCATTTAACACCAGGTCCAAATTCCATATCTTAGATATGAAATATAGTGTATTGGCAGAATGAAACAAAACAGTCAAGTGTTTTCAGAAGATCTTGCAGAAAAGCCATATTTCAAAGTAAAGCTTTACTTGCTCATTTGTTATGGTCCTTATGTCATGTAATGATGATGTGTGTACACAGCTACTCGGAGGTTCGCAACAGTATTCGTAAAGAGATGGGGATGGCAGAGGAGGACGACTCAGAAATGGTGTCTGTGGATGAGACAGAGATGGAGAAAGGCCAGCACAGTCCATCATGTTCTGTGACGTCTGGACCAGCCTCTCACCTACTCTCTGCTGCCTCAGTCCATTCTGAAACACCTGATGCCACTGTCACAGGTAAAGTTTACCAAGATTTTTCAGAATGCAGTGTCTGCTTCTGACTCAACCGTGTTATGGTATATTGTCCACAAATTGTACCATCTGATCTTTATGAAATAAGTACTTGTGAAATACTTGCTGGTAGAGGAAGTCTGACTTTGTTTTGCTTGTTGATAGGTTTAAGCAGGGTATCATTTTTCCTCAGGTGCCAGTCAGTTAGAGGTGTCAGAAAGTAGTCAGATGCCTCACTCAACACAACTGGATCGATCCATCTCCAGTAAACCACTAACTAGCAACCTGCAGACATTCCTTCAGCAGCAGCAGCAGCAGCAGCAGCAGCAGCCTTCACAGTCTCAGACAGTGCAGGAGAAACCATCCCCAACCCCGTCTACACCAGTGTTGCCACAGGTGATCCCAAGGGGAATGGTGCCAGTCAACATAATGAGTTTACCTCATGGCATGTTGGCCGTCCAACAAAATCAGTTGGTGAGTTGTTCAGGCTTCACACACACACAGCTCTTACTGTAATCTCATCAGATGTTTTTGGCTGAGCAATTTATTCATTTTCAAACAATGGTTAAAAGTGTGATAGTTATTGCTATCATCATCATCATCAAATGTGATATATGTGAAATATTTGTCAATAAGTGGAATAGCGAAAGACGTTGAAAGCTTGAATGTGATGTATTTTCAGTCCCGGGTAACAATGGGAGATGCAGTTAGTGTGGTTCCATCTTTGTCACCAGCTCCAGTTATGAGTCCTCAAGAAGTAAGTCACAGAAACATGTCCAGATCAGGAATAGTATTCTTTAAAGTTCTTGAATGTGAAATAATCTTTTGTGGACAACTTTTTGTACTCAGAAAACTAGATAACTACTTCTGTTTTCAGAATCTTCTTCAGCAGCCACAGATATTCATGACTCAGGCACAACGCCTTCTTCATGACCAATTGCTTCACAAGTCCGAACAGCTTCAGGATGCCATCCGACACCAGCAAGAGGAGTTGAGACAGATCACAGAGCAACTCACACGAGCACAGCACCTCTCCACCCCTGTAGTTCAAGGTAACAGCCCCACCAAAGTGACTCTCCACCCCTGTAGTTCAAGGTAACAGCCCCACCATAGTGACTCTGCACCTCTCCACCCCTGTAGTTCAAGGTAACAGCCCCACCATAGTGACTCAGCACCTCTCCACCCCTGTAGTTCAAGGTAACAGCCCCACCATAGTGACTCAGCACCTCTCCACCCCTGTAGTTTAAGGTAACAGCCCGACCATAGTGACTCAGCACCTCTCCATCTCTGTAGTTCAATGTAACAGCCCGACCATAGTGTCTCCGCACCTCTCCACCCCTGTAGTTCAAGGTAACAGCCCCACCATAGTGACTCTCCACCCCTGTAGTTCAAGGTAACAGCCCCACCATAGTGACTCAGCACCTCTCCACCCCTGTAGTTCAATGTAACAGCCCCACCATAGTGACTCAGCACCCCTGTAGTTCAAGGTAACAGCCCCACCATAGTGACTCAGCACCTCTTCACCCCTGTAGTTCAAGGTAACAGCCCCATCATAGTGACACAGCACCCCTGTAGTTCAAGGTAACAGCCCCACCATAGTGACTCAGCACCTCTTCACCCCTGTAGTTCAAGGTAACAGCCCCACCATAGTGACTCAGCACCTCTCCACCCCTGTAGTTTAAGGTAACAGCCCGACCATAGTGACTCAGCACCTCTCCATCTCTGTAGTTCAATGTAACAGCCCGACCATAGTGTCTCCGCACCTCTCCACCCCTGTAGTTCAAGGTAACAGCCCCACCATAGTGACTCAGCACCTCTCCACCCCTGTAGTTCAATGTAACAGCCCCACCATAGTGACTCAGCACCCCTGTAGTTCAAGGTAACAGCCCCACCATAGTGACTCAGCACCTCTCCACCCCTGTAGTTCAAGGTAACAGCCCCACCATAGTGGCACCAGCACCCTGTAGTTCAAGGTAACAGCCCCACCATAGTGACTCAGCACCTTCCACCCCTGTAGTTCAAGGTAACAGCCCCACCATAGTGACTCTCCACCCCTGTAGTTCAAGGTAACAGCCCCACCATAGTGACTCAGCACCTCTCCACCCCTGTAGTTCAAGGTAACAGCCCCACCATAGTGACTCAGCACCCCTGTAGTTCAAGGTAACAGCCCCACCATAGTGACTCAGCACCTCTTCACCCCTGTAGTTCAAGGTAACAGCCCCACCATAGTGACTCAGCACCCCTGTAGTTCAAGGTAACAGCCCCACCATAGTGACTCTCCACCCCTGTAGTTCAAGGTAACAGCCCCACCATAGTGACTCAGCACCCCTGTAGTTCAAGGTAACAGCCCCACCATAGTGACTCAGCACCTCTGCACCCCTGTAGTTCAAGGTAACAGCCCCATCATAGTGACTCAGCACCTCTCCATCTCTGTAGTTCAAGGTAACAGCCCCACCATAGTGACTCCGCACCTTTCCATCTGTGTGAGGCAGTAATGAGTGATTGTGTTGCAGGCCCACCAGACACCTCTCACTCACTGATCCTTCAGCCCCAGGTCCAGCCAATGACCATGGCTGCTACAGGCCAGCAAGTCATGATGATTCCACAGATGAGCACGCTGAGTGTTATCAAACAACCGCAGCAGCAACACCAACAGCAGATTCAGCTGCATCAACAGGTACAGATCCAGCAAGTACAACAGCATCAGCTGCAGCCTTGTCTTCCCTTCCAGATCGTCCCAGAGGCTGACGATGTCAACTTTAATAATCAAGAAATGTCCGACAACTAGACTACCGTCACTGTCAGTGTTCATGCACATCTTTGGCGACTCTTCACTTTAAGTGATAAGGATACTTCTCAGGGTGGACAAGGTTCCAAGGTTCCAGTAGTGGGATACCTCATAGCAACTCGCTGACCTAGGCAGTATGTGCTTTGTATGAGGAATGTACATGGCTGTTGACAATAGCAGTTGTTTACTCTCGTCAAGTTGGTGAAGTAAAAGGAATGCATGATTGATGAAAATGCAAATATGGCTATCCATGTATATCATCCCACGATACACTGTGTTGAAGTCAAGACTGAGAACCTGGTTGTAAGTTATTGACAGATATTAATCATGTTCCCGATGTCATATAATAAGGGGTACAACGTTATTTGTATATAGACTTTCAAACTTGCATAAATACCTGTGCTATTTCCACAGTTCTGTGTTCTCTATGAGAACAAACAGGAATTGTCCTATTTAACGTGTACATTTCATGGCAACCTTTACTTAAGGCTTTGTGTCATGTTAATTTAATTTAATCCATGCAGTGTAAAGTGTTCAAGTTTATTATGAAGGGGAAAACTCTAGACCCCTCTGTATAAGGTAGATTAGTTTTATCTTTTCCCACTTACTAGTCAGCTTCCACGGGAAGAAGCTCAGTATCTGAATGCACAAATGGATAAGTATGTATGATAAACAGTGAGCTTCATGGCAAATATTGCAAGATTAGTTTTCAGAAGTTGACCTTATTGCAAAAGTATTCTTCAAGGAGGTAACATAGCAGTATGTTCATGCTCAGTTCTTGTTCTCTAAAATGAAGTAAAGTATGACTGTTCTTGTCATGAAACTCTTGTTATATAATATGTGGCAGTCTAAATTATTGGAATTTCCAAATGACAACAGTTCCTAAGCAATTGGCCTTGGTGGCTTCTGTGATCATGTGTGTAGGTGCAAAATATTTTTTTCGAAATATAAGGGCTTGTGTCTTCTTTTCATTTACCAATGAGTTGCACAAACCTTTCAGAAAAGTTATTCAGAATGTTGTATAGACACATTTAAAAGGAAAAGATACTCACTTAAATACATTATTCATATATTTGTCTCACTTTTTATGTGTTTCACCATTGTTACCTAAATTCATGATCACTGTTGGAATCCCAAGGAATAAGTGGTATTCAGATCCTGGGTATCCCTTTCTTTTGGACATAATTTTACAAATTCAGCAGTTTTGTTAAAAATAAAACTGATTACATTTGTATTAGACAAAATTAGAAATGCATACATTTCTGAAACCCATAAACCTGATGGTGGCCCCATAGGTTTTCAAGAGAACTATGGCCTGATGGCTGCGCTCATTATATGCTTACATTAAGAGTTGTGAATATTTTGTGATATACCAAATGTGGCTGTGAATGTAAAGAAAGAAATGTGGTCATTAGGACATCTAGACTAGTTTAAAGCATGTTATATTTAGCATGGTTGAATTTACAAGTAACCAGGCTCTTCTTTGGGGATAAACATCCATGTATTCATTCAACCATGACAAAATGGGTTCTCCATCTCAATTGAAGGATTGTTTTTGACATCCTAATACTTTTCTCATATCACTCGTGGCGAAAACAAGTTACTAACTGGCCTGCAAACTTAAAATATTTCTATCATGTGTTTTGCACAAAATGTATTGCCATGTTGCATTTTGTAACCTATTACTGTACATAGAATTATTTAACTGCCACCCACAAATGACTGAAAAAAGAAGTACCAGTCCACAAATATTTGCTTCCGTGGTGATGTGGATGTCACATTGGCTGTTCTAATCAGAGGGTTTATTGTGATTTGATACCTCTGACTGGTCCAAATGAGAAGCTGAACTGCAAAATTTGGAATAGTCTATTAAATATCTATATGGTACTCAGCAATGCATATACCCAACAATATTGGCTGCTTTTCCAGTGACTGGTATAAAAAAAAAAGGAAGAAAGAGTGAGTGTGAGTGAATTTAGTTTTATGCCGTTTTTAAGCAATATCACCGCACAGGGGACACCAGAAATGGGCTTCACACATTGTACCCATGTGGGAAAACAAGAAAAAGTTCTTGTGTACCAGTTGACAAGAGGGACAGCACAAACAAGGCCATGCAGTACAGGGAATGACAGCATAAGAGGGGGTCATCTCGTGATATTTATAGCTGCAGTCGGACTCCCTTGTCACAACCCTTCCATGCCTCCACATTCACCAGCTTTTCAACATCTCACAATTGAAACATTCTAGTCTATTGTCCAACTTTATATTTGAGTTTTCTAGTCCTGAATTCAAATTCTGTGTAGTAGTCCCGGTTGGCCTTGGCCCAAAAGATGACATCTTTCACCTTACAGTTCCCGGTGGGTAATTGCTGGTGGCATGTGCTCACACCTGATTTTGGAAAGCAGACTCAAGTTCGTCATGTTTCTGCTTAATGGTTTGAATGAGTGTAGTTTTACGCCGCTTTCAGCAATATTCCAGCAACATCACAGTGGGGGACACCAGAAATGGGTTTCACTTCGCTTAATGGTTTGAAGGTAATGACTTTAGGAACGGACAATGTCAGATGTTTCACACAATAGCCCTATTTTAATAACTATTTTAGTTTTACCTAAATGTATGCAGAAGTTGCCATAGCTTGTATTTTGAACAATTCAATCTCATTCAGTTTCAAGGTATTTCGTCAAGTGTACTGTATATTTCCGAAAAGTGTCTAATTTTGAACCCCCGATTGCTGGAGTCCCATTGATGGACAACTTACTTAAGCTTGGTAGTAGATATACCAAAAGCTTCAAAGGCTTGTTTCAAGTATTAATAATGACATAAAATGTGTTTCTCTTTCTGCTTCACACAGAAAGAAATATACACCTTAAACATCAGATGAGTAGTACATCTTGTCCGTCAACAATGACCTATACCTTTTTGTATGTGCAGTACATGTGTACCCGTAACATGACATACAATTTTCCAGTGATGGTACAAAAATAGACAGCAGATATTGTTGGGTACATTGCCATTTACTAGACTATTCATGATTTTGAGCTATCTTGCCGTTCCATGTTCTCATTTAGAGACAAATGGACTGTAGAATGTAAATGACAACCTGAACATAATTGTATGCAGTTCGATCATCATCAGTCTTATCCACAGAAGCCATTCCAACTTTGTGAGCAAGCAACAATTCAAAAGCCAACCAACTTTGCTGATGAAGTGCCTTTTACTTATGACATAGTGTAGATATGAATTTCATCATTTGCAATGAAATGCTTGCATGAAGCATCAACACTGATGCATTTGTTTTTGATACTTATCACTCATGGCAAATTATGAGAAATGGTACTCATATTTCAACCAGACACTAGAATCAAAATGTATCTTATTTATGTACTTTCAAAAGTATATTGGCTTTGAGAATCCATTAAAACAAATTTCTATCCTTTAGCGGTCTTGTTAAGTTCAGAATTCATCAGCTGCATATCACCATCACCTGTCTCAGCCATTCATCCAGTGTTTGTATCAAACATTCCATCCTTTAGTCAGTAGATGTTTGTAGGGCTGGGATGGCTCCAAAGTTTCTTCCCTGGTACCCCACCACCGATTACTCTACCCGGATACCCCACCACCTAGTACTCTACCCGGATACCCCACCACCTAGTACTCTACCCGGATACCCCACCACCTAGTACTCTACCTGGATACCCGTTATTTTAATTCATGACATCAAATTTGTAAGAAGCGTCAATATAACCTTCAGCTTGGAGGCTACAATTTGGAGTTTTTTCAATATCTTAACCATGTATTATATTCAGAACAGGTTACTGCACAAATGTGTCTAAATCTTCAAAGACAATACAACCTTTTAATCATGAAAGAATAACATATAGCATTGTTTAATCTATTGGTCACAACGGGTATGGGTATTGAGATGGGTACCCGGGTCCAACTCATTACCCACCCGTTCCTGGTATCCGGGTTACCCGTCCCAGCCCTACTTGTTTGCAAAGAAATACTTAATAAAGCCCAGGGAAGGGCAAACACCCTGTTCAAAATGAGTGGCCTTACTCAGGGGATTTCTCATGAAAGTTCTTTTGCAAATATGTACTGTGATGTTGCCAAAGTTTATATGAAAGAGTATTCATGTGCCCAAATCCTTAAAAAATTCTATGATTGTACATTCTTGTTAAAACATTGTTTTCATTGTGTATATACAACCATGAAAAGGGACATTATTTATCAGTGTTTAAAACATGTAAAAATACTTTGAATAAAAGATTTTAAATTGTAACATTTCATCAGATGTTATTGTCCATAATGAAAACTTGAACACCATCTTCTGCTGAAGAAGGTTTGGCAGGTTACATGCCCTCAATGAATGCTCTACGGGACATCAAGCGTTTTGGTCCGTGTTTCATCTCCAGGGCTGCCATACTGTCCTCATCTGTGCCCAGCAATATATCATCATCCTTCTCACTCCAGGCTGGGTACCCTGCAGATGCACAAACATGTATGTTACTAAAGGGATGTCACGATACAGGTGCCTCACGATCTTGATACTGCATTTCTGCCATTTTGCCTGTAACAAGCAGCAATTACCTGGATGGCAAGTTGATACCATAGCTCACCAGTCCACAAATACCCATTAACAGTTAATACAAGTCATAAGTTCAAAAAGTTCAAGATAGGAACAAAAGCTTATATTTGGAGACATTTCCTTTCCAACTTAATTCTGAAAATCTTGAATTCCTTGTATACACTCAAAAACTACTGTGCTAGGGGTTTGGAACCCCATCCTTTGTCTGGTCAGTGCAGAAACGTCCTTGATTACAGATGGCAGACTCGTGTCTCCACTAACCCACCACAACAACAAAGCAACACCAGGCAGGGGCATGATGGGACCCGAGACTGGGTGTGGTGAGACAGCTTAAAGATAAGACTACCATAATAGACAAATACAAGCTCAGCAACACTACCTTGTGTATCCACACCAAATCGGATCCAGTGCAGGGCATCCTCTTCACTGCCACTGTTGATGTACAGGGAGTACAGCACTTCTTGTAGTGTTAGGCCCAACTTCTTGCCAAGTCTCTGAAAATACACACGCCAAAACATCCACTCAATCAGCTACTGTAAATCATGAAATTAATGCAGTGGTCAAATGAATTCAGTATTGACCACTGGTCTGAATGCATTGTAAAATTAATGCGAGTAACATCTGAAACGACAATATTAAATATGAAGACTTGATGACACAGGTGTAGACTTGAAGTGAAATGCAGAATATTAAACACAGGGCATATTCAAATGAGATACATGTGTGCCAGGTGACCTGACAAAGACAGAGAATTTCCTTGGAAGAGCAATCTGAATGTACAAGACAAATGTTCTGTACCCACTGTTGTTACTGTACTGAATACCACTACACAGATTACACACGCTTTGGAAACTATAAGATTATCTGCCCAGGTTGCCAGATTAAAGGACTGTGTTGATCAACACTGCACACAGCAATATTCTAGCTGTGACAGTGGGTAGGGTGGGCTATCGATATACCTCATAAAGATTGCTCAATATTTATATAATATCAATTGATTATCAATACATATCAGAGAAGTTAATTTGAGCAAAAACTGCCCAAAGAAGTTGGAAAGAAATCACAATATTTCACATCACTAGTGAGTGGTGATGTGCTTACGCATGGATCACCAACAAAAACAGCCTCCTTTAGAAGCAGTGTTTGAATAAAGACATAACTGTGCATTATGTTATGACATAAAGCTTTATTGCATCTCAGTTGTTTATGTATGATATTATGGATGACTAAACTTCCATACTGATAACCTTTCCATTGACAATATTGCCAATTATCCATCGTTTCAGCCATCCCTAACATCTGGATGACATGCAGCAACCAAGTCACCAAGCCTGACCACCCGACCCCGTCCAGCATCGATTGCCGAAGTCTACTTTCTTACCCTTTGATCTTCACAGTTTGAAAAACCTATTCACACCATGTTGGAAACTGATGAACTCGTGTAAACAAGTTGATAACTCTAGTTTTGCACTAAATCTAGAAGTCACAACAACAAGTTGTTTAGATGCTTGATTGGCATTTTAGAAGATGATATTTGATGAACATAGAGATTTTTTCTGGGTTACATCTTTTTATTTCTGGTCTGCCTGTCTCACCAATGTAGATGTCACCAAAGTCACATTTCAGTTTATACACACAGCCTTTAGGGTTGGATATAGCGTGATTGCACCCCTTACCATTTGCACGTAGCAAAGTTTTAAGGGTTTTGCCAGACGAGAAAGTGGTGTCAATGCTGGCCATTTTCTTCAGAAGTCTGCCTAAAGGCTGTGTGTATAAACTGAAATGTGACTGTGGTGACATCTACATTGGTGAGACAGGCAGACCAGTAGCTACACGTGTGAAAGAACACAAAACTTCAGTGGACAAATCAGATCTGAAATCTGCAGTTTCCGAACACATTATGAATAATCCCGATCATGAAATTGACTGGGAAACTGAAGTCCTCGAAAAAAACATCAGTGACTGGCGGAAACGCAAGTTGATTGAAGCTATCTTCATCAAACGCACAAAACCAGCAATAAACAGGGATCAGGGTGTCTTCCTCCCAAATGCATGGTACATAAAACAATAAGACAATACCCTACCCTCGTCACTGTTCCCATGTATAAAGCATAATTTCTATGTATACACTGCTATTACTTTACATTCTATACATTTATAAATACGTCTCTGTACATTTCTAAATCAATCAACAATTTTGTATAAGTATCTGCACAGTTCTAAATTGATCCATTAATTTTGCAGTAAAAGACATCTTATATATTCATAATAACATGTATTCTATTAGCCATGTCATCTGTATCCATTGACCACCACATGTATTGCGTCGTCATAGCATTGTGACATCACGGCCAGAGTTAACAGTTACTGTTCAGTTTTACCTGATGATGGGGCCAGAACAAGCCCTGAAACGTTGTACTTGAGAATAAAAAGAAGATGTAACGCAGAAAAAATCTCTATGTTCAACAAGTTGTTTGCCTTCATTCAAAAATAGAATCCATCTTGTCCTGAAAACATCTGACAATAAATTGTATATATAGAATACTTGTCCTACCTCATATTCAGCACCTTTCCTTGAACTTCGACCGTGGAGCAGACACAACCTTAACAAGTGTTTGCCACTGATATGGCAATGTCCTAAAGAATGGAATATCTATATTTACTACTTTTTATTTTTTGGGTCATACAAGATGCCTGAAATGACTGGTGTCTGCATAATCACCCAATGTAGGCTGTCAACATACTTGAAAACATTGGGTGCAATGTGTTATGAGATATCGTGTTTACATAGGTTTCAAAAGCGGTCAAAGTGTCGTGATGACCTTGAAGATAGGGTCAAGGTCACCCAAATAAACTGGTGTCTGCGTAATCCCCCAATGTAGGCTGTCACCAAATTTGAAGACATTGGGTACAACAATCCATGAGATGACGTGTTAACAAGAGTTTGAAAAGTGTTCAAAGTGTCATGGTGACCTTGAAGATAAGGTCAAGGTCACCCAAATAAACTGGTGTCTGCATAATCCCCCAATGTAGGCTGTCACCAAATTTGACTGACTGACTGAGTTTGGTTTTACGCCGCTTTCAGCAATATTCCAGCAACATCACGGCGGGGGACACCAGAAATGGGCTTCACACATTGTGCCCATGTGGGGATTCGAACCCGGGTGTTTGGCGTGACGAGCCAACACTTTAACCATTAGGCTACCCCACCGTCCCGTCACCAAATTTGAAGACACTGGGTACAACAGTCCATGAGATATCTTGTTAACAAGGGTTTGAAAAGTGGTCAAAGTGTCGTCGTGACCTTGAAAATAAGGTCAATGTCACCCAAATCCACTGGTGTCTGCGTAATCCCCCAATGTAGGCTGTCACCAAATTTGAAGACATTGGATACAACAGTTCATGAGATATCGCATTAATAAGAATTGGGACATACGGACGAACGGACACCGCTGAATACATAGTCCCCAGTTCAGCGTTGCGGCGGGGGACAACAAGAGCGGTCAATGAATATGATGATCCACTTAGTGAAAATGGAGACCAGTGGAGCTGCTTGGAGTGATGATGGACCAACAGGCTGTATCTAAGTGGTAGAGCCAAAGTATTGTGGTCTGCAAGATTGACGAACCCTCAAGCAGATCGAATGGGAGATCTCTGGATGGTGTGTCTATTTGGTCGTAGCTGGCTCTACTTGGTTGTCTGGTGGTTCTGGAGGAAGTCTCTAGTGTGACGTGCTGTGTGGGGCCTGGCATTGTCCTGTTGAAACAACTCCCTCTGGCGATCAATGATTGGAAGGAGGTGTGGGCGTAGGATTTCGTCACAGGACCGTTGAGCTGTCAGGTTTCCCTGGATCATCACCAAATCCCTTCTCCTACGGCAGGTGATCGCTTCCCACATCATAACACTTCACCGGCCGAATCTGTCCACCTGGGGAACGCAAGCGTCGGCGAAATGTTCACGTCGACGTCTGTACACCCGCATTCTTCAATCGCGTCGTTCCAATAGAAATCGTGATTCATCACTGAACCTGATTCTACGCCAATTCGGTAAGTTCCTGGCCTGAACTTGATGTCGACGATGTTGTTGTCGAAGCACAGGGCCAAAATAAGGTCTTCTGGCACGTAAACCAGCCTCTCTCAACCTGTTCCTGACGGCCTGTGCAGAAAGCCTCCTCAATCCGGGTATTTGTCGAGCGGTACTGGTCGCCGTAGCTGTTCGATGAAGCAGGTGATGTACCCGGATGTAGCGATCCTGCGCCACAGTGGTCGCTCGAGGTCGCCCACTATGAGGGGCATCTGCTACCGCATTCTGCCGGCGATATCTCTCCCAGAGCCGTGAAATGGTGCTTTGGTGAACATTCATGCGTCGGGCAACTGCACGTTGAGACTGGCCAGCTTCAAGCAAACCAATGGCGATATGGACGGTTGGCTTCACTTAGAGGCGTGGCATTTTGTTTTCGTCAACAATATTCCAAATACAGTGAATAATCGACAGACAGCGAGCAACCTTTTTATACCCATCATTGAGACTATCTGATCCCCAACTTTCATTGCATTGCATGTGAATTGTGTATTCTGTGACACTACACTTAAATTGAAAATCATGCTGTTAATCACGGGTATTTTACGGATGGTGCGTTTTGTTGTGATGTTTCAAAACATAAACACCATCGGACTCATAAACAGAGCAAAACCTTTTGTAAAATGAATCACGTTTTAATTCATTGCTACATGAAATTGCTATTTTCATGATGTTTCTTTTGGGAGAGTATATATTCAGGTACTAATCATTAGTCTGTCTTACAGATGTCACTAACTGTGACAGCTACGATGTCTTGACTCTGATTAAAGGATGTTTACCATGCTGCTTCTCAAAGTGACAAAACTATAAAGTAGCATAATGTGAACACTGTACAGCAACTCATTATACAGTATATAATAATCCATACTACAGGGAAGTATTTGTTGTTTTCACAACCTCAAATTGTTTCATTTTTTAAAAGCGTTATCAAGTTTGTCGGATGTTAAGCTAAATGTAGGGGTCTCTGAAAAGTACAAAAGTACATCTTATACAAGAACAAGATCCAGCTGCTTATGTATTGATTTCCCACACCCACAGTATACGCAACAACAGTGGCAATCTCAGATACTTGTAACAGAGACCATATATATGTATATATACTTTATTTCCTCCATTGTCATGAAGAGCGTCCTCGTGCTTTAACTATAATAGTTCAGGGCAAAAGTGTGTTTTATTACACTATACATGGTGGTAGAGCAAAGTGTATTTCTTAAATAATCCCCCGCCGCAAATTATCAAATCAAACTGATAGAGTAATGAAACTATAAGATGAAGTTAAATGTCAATAAAAACATGACTAATCAACCTCTCTTGATATCTGGCTCTTTAGTTGTTCAAACACACACATATTTTCAAGACTGACTTTGACCTTGACATGAATGTCATAGTGTATGAAATATGCAAAACTAGTACTAAAGAAATTGCTTATTGAAAAACATTCAAGAGAAGTCTTAAAAGTCTATGAAGAAAATCCAGTGAACCGTTCTTAAATTATCTTGCTGACAATTCAGGTTAACATGCTGAAATCTTCAAAGTGTCGTCGTGACCCTAAAAATTATGTGAAGGTCACCAAAATTGACTGGGCCCTGGGCCTTCCCTAGATGAAGCTTGGTATTGAATATGGAGAAAATCTAGTGAACGGTTCTTGATACAGCTTAACATGCAGGTAAAATGTTAAAGTCCCCTTGTGACCTTGAAATGAAGGTCAAGGTCACCAAACCTGAGTTGGACCTTTCTTATACTGTGATGAAACTAGGTACCAAATATGAAAAGAATCTAGTGAACGGTTCTTAAGATATTCCAATTCGTACGGACGTACGTACGGGCGGAGCCTAATACTATATCCGCCGCTTCGCGCTAAATGCGCGGCAGGGGATAACAACTGGGCTATCAAGCTCCTCCCTAAAGAATGCACTGTACACTGCTATGGTCAAAGCAGCCCTACCTTGAGATGGAGGCTTGTCTCTTCCACTGCCTGGAGCTGGTCATCTGCTCTGTGATCCCCTTCTGGAAGAAGGTACAGAGGTTGTTGGTCAATTAGCATCACATATAAAGCATCTAGGAATAAAACCAGGTGTTAAAATACACTCAGCACAGAAACCTGATCACAAATGATACAATCAGTATATAAATTTAAATTCTAGAGAAATACACAACTATACTGTTTCTGTGAATACTCTGGGTCACTTTGCAGTGTAGTCACAGTTTTTAACCAACAAACCAAGTCAAGAGGGAAGCCAGTGGGTACTTCATGAGTGCTCAGACAAATATTGCACAGTAATGTTTCACTAGTCCATATAATCCTCTCCATCTTCAGAAACCAGTAGTACTGCTGACTAACTACCATCCCTTAAACATTTTAGTCATAGTGCTAACATTCCTTTTGTGACATAAATCTCGTTTCCAGTTTGGTGTACATATACACTGCTACTTCTTCTCAAACCACAGAGGTTTCTTCTCTCACATTCACTTGTTCTTGTGGCTTGGAGCCAATTACAGTTAATATCTACTATTGTTTTGTCTGTACAGTTAGAAAATCTGAAAAGATGTCACTTATGGTCAGGTGTGGTAAACCTGTGTTACCTTGAGATTGTTGTGATTCTGTGTCATAGTCCTCCAGTCTCCACCTTGAATTGTTGTAACACATCTTCTTAGAGTCTGGAACATATCAATGAAGGTTCTCTATCCTAGTACATAATGTATCATCACATGAGAATACTCTGGTAGAATAGTGTTCTAACATACCCATGCTATCAGTCAACATGTCGTGTGTTTCTCTATGTTAACAGCACAGTCATCCCTCACCATAACACAAGTCTCGGGGTCCATGGATGACTCCCTCCATTATATGACACCCGCTTTATACATAACATGGAATAATGGGCTATTATCGTATTTTCCTTGTGCACTGCTTAAATGCTATTAAGTGTATTGTGCCAAGTCAAACACTAAATCTAGCAACAAACAAACTTTGTAAATGAAAATAGGAAAAGTGCAATCAAACATCACTAGACATGACAATTCACAATTTGAATTGTAGTTTGTTATGCAATTCATTGTATATGTAAAGATAAAGATTACCATGTACATTGGTATTGTCAACTTTGCTGGGAATAGCAATCAGCTATGTACAAATGTTTTGCCCCAATCTACTGGTGATTCAGTTGAAAAGGATCCGACATTTTATGATTGGCAGAATTTATATATTAAGCAGTTACTTTAACAGGGACATTATATCCTCAGGGGTGGAAATAACCCATTGCCCGACGTCCGAGTCCAGTGTTTTTTTTCTGTCGGGCAAGCAAATTTGTATATCACACTGTACTGGTGTCCAGTTGACTTTCCAATGTTAATTATGTTGTTTATTTTAAAAATCAACAAGAAAACGGCCGGTACAGTGGAAAAATAATCAGGGCAAGTGATTTTACATGTGCCACTGTACCGGAGTACACTAGCAATTTTAAAGTTATTTCCACCCCTGATCCTGTAAACATGATTTAGTTCCGAGTAGTAAATGTTCCGGTTCGGAATAAATGCCGTGAAATTGAGAATGGATGACACGAATAAAAATTCCGCACATACGGCAAATATTCCATCGAACAGGAACAAATACCGTAGGCCTAACCTATTCCAGTCATTATTGAATGCAAAATGGACTCATCCAACTTGTCAACATCCGGGATGTCTACTAACTGTAACTTGGTTACATGTTGACTGTAACCTGGCTACTAACTGTAACTTGGTTACATGCTGACTGTAACTTGGCTACTGACTAACTGTAACTTGGTTACATGTTGACTGTAACTCGGTTACATGTCGACTGTAACCTGGCTACTGACTGTAACTTGGTTACATGTCGACTGTAACCTGACTACTGACTGTAACTTGGTTACATGTTGACTGTAACCTGGCTACTGACTAACTAACTTGGTTACATGTTGACTGTAATCTGGCTACTGACTAACTGTAACTAGGTTACATGTTCACTAACCTGGCTACTGACTGACTGTAACTTGGTTACATAGTGACTGTAACCTGGCTACCGACTAACTGTAACTTGGTTACATGTTGACTGTAATCCGGCTACTGACTGACTGTTAATTGTTACATGTTGACTGTAACCTGGCTACTGACTGACTGTTAATTGGTTACATGTTGACTGTAACCTGGCTACTGACTAACTTGGTAACATGTTGACTGTAACCTGGCTACTGACTAACTGTAACTTGGTTACATGTTGACTGTAACCTGGCTACTGACTAACTCTAACTTGGTTACATATTGAATGTAACCTGGCTACTGACCAACTGTAACTTGGTCACATAATGACTGTAACCTGGCTACTGACTGACTGTAACTTGGTTACATGTTGACTGGCTACTGACTGTAACCTGATTAATGAAGGTAACTTGGTTACATAATAACTGAACTCTTTTTTAACACAAGATTCATTTAGAATCATTAGTTCGCATTCTGGGGAATCTACAATGTATTTTCATAAAAAAAAATTAAGTAACTTTCACACATGATAATTGCTTCTTGATAGCCACATGATTTGTTCCATATGGAACAAATACCGTAGGAAAATCTTTTTTTCCTTTCCGTTCCCCCCACGCCCCAATTTTTAAGACCACCCCAACAAACAAAACCCTCATTAGACACTTTATGATGTGTGTGGAAGTTCCTCTTTACCCGGAATAAATTCTGTGTGTGCGGAACGAAATAATTGTTCCGCATGCACTATTACAGGAACAAATGTTCGAATGTAAAGTTCCGCCGGAACTTTTACTATGGGGGAACCAAATCTTTTTTTTACAATCCTACTATCACAATATTATAATGCATTTTTCCGTGTACATTTTGAAAATAATTACTTTCAAGTGAAAGCAAGAATGTTATGTATCCATTCTCTGACAACTAAGATTTCTGTTAAGGCAGTAATCAGATCGTAATTGCTGAGAATAATGTGAAATTGGTGCTATCGAGGTGTGAGAAAAAGCAGACTCTCAAAACAGGGTAAGCAGAAGATGTACGTGTATATATACATATATAGAATGTCATACTAATGCATTTGGATGTTTTGTATTGAATGAGAAGATGTCATGGGAACAGAGAAACGAGTTCGAAGACATCTTCAAAATGTAATCAACAAGTATGATATTGTGTAAATTTCTAAATTAATTGTATACAACCTAAAAATCATATTATATTCAATTGACACACCTCTCGTTAGCTGGGAAACCCATGACCTACAAATTAGGTCAATTTTTTTTGGTGGGTACGAAAATCCAGGAAAGAGCTTTGGAGAAAGTAGAACCGGCAGGGGTTCAATACGGAATCTGGGGTGCAATACAGGATTTGACCACGTCATCCGTATTGCACCCCTGTATTACTATCCTAAGTTTACATGGGCGTATAATAGAGAATAAGGTGAAATGAGCATGCCGTTTCAAACCAATGTTACTGTAAACACTTCTTACTGAATGAATGACCAATGAAATGAGTAAAGAACATGTCCTTAGTCTAGGAAGATCATATTACCATGTGTTTTCAGAAGCCAGTGTTTACTTGCGCGATAACGAGGTGTGTTGCATCACGGTAACATTGTAAATATACTGAACCACAAAAGAAACGTCTTTCAAAACCAAATGCAAAATGTTGTTCTTATAAGGTGGTGTTTTTATTATGATTGTACCGTTTTGTTAACATGTTTTTCAATCCAAATTGACAGTTATTACCAACATCAGTGTTTTTTTATGAATAAGCATATCGACCAATCGTACCTAAAAAGGCAGACGTGGTAAAAGGTTCCGTATGATATTCATGAAAAATGAAAATGCGCGTGCATGTCGTGACAACCCTACCAATGAAAGGGAGTTCCAAACTTGCCTGAAATCATTGTTGTTTTGACACAATTACCATGCCACGACTTACGAGAGATCAGAGGAACCAAGTCTTTGGACGATTGCAAGTTGTCCCGACAGCACGGACGGTAGCCAATCATTTTAATCATCACAACGTCAAGACCGACAGATTGTGCGCAACCATCTGCAGGATCGCTTCCCAAGAGCGACGGAAACAGCATGTCAGACCATCGGGACTCACAACAGACCCATCAGTGCCGATACAGTGCGTCGACGTTTGCGGGGAAGAAACCTCTGCTGTCACAGTCCATATCGTAGTCCTGTCCTCACCGCCCAAACTGACTGCAATGGGCAACTCAGCATCAAAATTGGTGCTATCGACAATGGAGAAGTGTGTTTTATCCCACGAAAGCCGATATTGTGTTTCGACAGTCAATATCAGAGTGAGAGTATGGTGAAGGCATGGGAACTATTTTCCAACGAGAGTATTGTTAAAAAACACCCGTGGGGTGGTCCAAGCATCATGGTGAGGGGTGCAATCGGTCTGAACCAGTTAGATGACACCGTGGTGTTCCGGAATCTTGGTCCAGGATGAGGAAATGATGTGACAGCTGCTTGCTATATTTACCAAGTCATAAGACCCCACATTGTACCACAATTTGGACGTCACAGAAATCACATCTTCCAGCAAGATAACGCTTGTGCCCACACTGCCAGGGTAACATTTGACTTCCTAAGACAACATGGCAACCAAACCCTACAATAGCCTGCACTCAGTTCGGATTTACGTTCAATAGAACACCTTTGGGACGAGACTCAAAGAAAACTGAATGACCTCCAACCAAGGCCGACAACTGCAGGTGGACTCGATCAGGCATTTCACAGAGTATGGACCCAATTGCCTGTGGCCTTCATCAACCTGCTAATTCATTGCATGTACAGACAATGCAATTTTCATTGATGCCCATGGAAGCCACACACGATACTGACTTTGAGGTATCCAAATGGTACCATTTCTGGTGATTTTGTTTGTGTGAACTCTAAATGTGATTCCTGATAATGTGTTTACCATAATGGTCAAGTTTGAACTCAAGCCTCTGTTTTGATTGTTAATTAGAGTGAATTAAAGTGTGTGCTTTAAGCATCTGCTATCGGTCCGACATTTCTTTTGTGGTTCAGTGTATAGTTGTCTTTTATAAGTTAGCGCGAAAACAATGTATGTTTTGTCAGTGTCTGAAGGATATACAACAGACACTGTGTATTACATCTGTAATGAATTGCTCTGGTTAATCCTTACATGATTAACATGAGTACAACAGATGATATGCCATTTCCAGTGATGTGATGATGCACAATCTCTTGGGAAATTATTTTTTATGGGAGCCATTGGTTACCCCGCTGTTTAACCGAGACCGTGGTACAGTGAAGGGCATTATTGTGAGGTATGACTGCTTCATGATGTTTACAATACTCACATGTGTCTATTCATGTATTATGTAAATTCAAGTGTACCTATCCATGTGTTCTGAGAACAAGAGTGTATCTACCCATGTTTCATTAGTACACTTTTGTCTGTTCAAATGATGTCCATGTATCCATCTAAACATGTGATCTTCAGATTACCTGTGTCTGTGTTGCGGGGTGTTCTGCTGGCCAAGTTGTGGAGATGTCGAAAGCTCACCTCATCATCAGTCGAGTCAGTCTGGTCAAGACAAACAACATCATAACAAAACTTCTACATAGCTTGCATGGAAACAAGTCAGAAAGTCAACCACTGAATTCAATAGTTACAAGCAAGATTCCACTAAGTGCACCTGAAATAATCTTTACACTAAGACTAAAAACTAAAAAGTGACTAACTCAACAACTGATCAGCTTATCATGATAGATTGATCTAGTTAACTCTAGATCCTTGAATATAAAATGATTCATTCATAAACAAAAGCTATTATTTATTTTTATCTTTTTAAGACTTGGTCACTAAGTTTGATTTGTCCATTGTTAAAGTTTCACTCAGAAACATTACAACTGTATGATGGTGGCCACGATGCATCAACTTGATGTGTCAGGATATAGTCAACATTTTGTGAGTTGCCACTTAAATAAAGCCTTTCTTCAGGTAATGACCAGGATGGCAATGACCTGTGACATTATTGTCAAGGCGTCTAAACTTTCTCCTGGTTATAAAGGTAATATACATGTTATGATATCCCTGAAGCCTCTATTGTTATTCCAAACCAAAGTGTAGTGTTTGCAGTGGTAGCTAGTTAGACAACATCTGGAAGAATACCTGTGAACATATAGGCATGTGAACTGAATCATTGTGTCAAAGGTTTGAAGCATCACTAAAATGTAATTTTCTGAATAAAATTGATATTTTATACTTATCCTGACTCATGCTTATTTGCTTGTCTCCTTCCTCTTGCGAACTTAGTGGAACACTTGTATGTCCTATTGAAGCTCCCTTCAATAAAAACATAAAATCACTACTCACCAAGAGTTATCCCTTGATCCGTTTTGGCGGGAAACCGTGGCGCCACCGTTCCCACATTCTTCACTTTCTCCTGATTATGAGCCTGACACTTAAATTTACAGGGAAATCCAAAGTGTCTAGCGGGGAGGTTGGGAGGGCTTACCTCATGAGTCAGGATAAGTATAAAATATCAATTTTATTCAGAAAATTACATATTTTCCCTTATCCTGACTCATGCTTATTTGCTTGTAGAATCCGACGGATTTGGTGGTGGGTCAAGTTACTTCTGGATTTCATGTAGTGATTTACGTCATATGTACCCCCCTACGGGAACTTCTGCTGGCACTTCTATTTTACTGCTAGTCTGCTACTGCTGCGACCCTGTACTCCCAGCTGTCTTTTGACGGGGGGGGACCACAATAGTTAACGTTTGGTCCTTTCTTCTGTTAACATTTTTATGTGGATTTTGCGACTCCATATCTTGATGCAAGCACCAAGTGGAGAAGCGACCCTTTCCTGTACGAGTATTCTTACAAGTACTGGGTCATATCACTTATGCTTGTCCTTAGACGTGCATTTAGACTTTAAGCAGAACTCTGCGGAGTGTAGGCTTTTCCCAAGTCATGTGATAAAAGGGCGAGACGTCGTCTCAACGCCTTTGAGGGACTGTCAACTGTTGTGCTACAACCAGCGGGCCGAAATGGTGAATGACGGAGACGTCCTCGGTGGCGATGTCCCTCAGGTAGTGGTTTGCAAACACCATGTCCGATTTCCAAAAGCAGCCCTCCATTATCGTCGTGATCGAGCAATTCCCATGTGGAGCGAGTGTTGACGCTAGAGCTCTAACTTCGTGTGGGTTGGAGGTTTTTGGAGGATCAAGTCCTGCTGCTTTGTAGGGCCATAGTATGACAGTTCTGATCCAGATTGATATCGTAGTGCGGGAGACCTCTGTCTGTGTCGCTCTTGATATCGGGATGAAGAGACGCTTGAATTTCTGTCTCCTGATCCTGGATCTTTGTAGATATACTTTCAATGCTCTTACGGGGCACAAGGATAGGTCCCGCGTATCTTGTGGTCCAAGGACGGATGATAATGCTGGGACGTGGAATTGTCTGTCCGGTTGACCTGGCAGTTGATTCTTTGCTATGAAGTCCCAACGCAGTCCCATATGCACGGTGTTTTGATTTTCATCAAATCGTGTTCTTTCGTAGTCAAGAGCATGTATTTCCGACATCCTTGCTGCTGTTGTTAAGGCTAGCAGGAACAGCGTCTTATGTGCCAAGAATTCGAAGGATGTCCTCTCTAATGGTTCGTAGACGTCACTGGTGAGATGTCATAGAACAACGTTGAGGTCCCACGCCGGAGCTTTAAATCTCTGTTGTTGGTCCTCCAATTTATAAGAGCGTAGTAAGGCCAGTAACTCTGGTACTTTTGTCAACTTGGCCCCTGTCCTCATGGTGATGACTGAGCTCAGTGCCGCTAGGTATATTGAGAGTGTTGACCCTTTTTATCGCTTTGTTTGCCGTAGGTGACAAAGGTAGTCCGCCGGTTGAGGTTGTGTCGCTTTTATGGCTGTAAAACCGTTCCTCGCAGCGTATGTCTCGAAGCTGCGCCACTTGTCGTTGTACAAGTAGCGTGTAGACTTGCGTAAAGCTAGTGTTACTGCTTTCGCTGCCCTGGCGGAATATCCTCTCTTGTTTAAACACGCCTTGATACAGTCCACACGTGTAGTCGGAACCCCCCTGGGTTGTAGTGCGCCTGCTTTGTGTAAGGATGTACTAGTAGATTCGTCCACTCTGGTAGTTGCAGTTGAGGCGGTCCTAGTTCTTGTATGAGAGTGGGGAACCATACTCTCGCTGGCCAGTAGGGCGCGACCAAAATCAGTTGGAGGTCCGTCGTCTGGCTGATTTTCCGCAACACCTTCGGTATTAGAGCTGGTGGTGGAAACGCGTACGCGTTTAGTCCTTCCCAGGATATGCTTAGAGCGTCCGTTGCCCATGCTTGTGGATCTGGTATTGGTGAGACGAATGTTGTCAGTTGATTGTTGAATCTCGTGGCGAAGAGGTCTATTAGCGGTACTTCCATCTCTTGTATGATTTCCTTGAAGATCTCTGGATGTAGCATCCATTCTGTTGGAGATGGTTGCTTTGGACGGGAGAGGGCGTCTGCTATCACATTCTTGGCTCCCGGAATGTGGCATGCTCTTACGTGGATGTTCAGATTGTCTGTTAGTTCGAACAGTTGAAAGCAAAGGTCCAGGAGGTTCGATGACCGTGTTGATCCTTGCTTGTTTATGTAAAACGCCACTATGGAGTTGTCCATGTGCACCATTAGATGAGCATTCTGTAGAATGGTGGTCCAGTGGAGTATGGCGTTTACGACTGCTTTCATTTCCAGCATGTTGATGTGCAGATCTTCCTCCTCTCTGGTCCATGTCCCGGCCGACACGTCGTTGTCGAGGTGTGCTCCCCAACCTTGGAGTGATGCGTCCACGTACAGATGTGTCCTGCACTCCGGCTCTGCTAAATACGTGCCTCCGCAGACATTCGATCTCTGGGTCCACCATAGTAGATGTGGTCGTAGTGCGTCCGGGAGTCCGAAGGATTCTGGATCGTCTAGATGAGCATTGACGAAGACCTGTAGCGGGCGTAGTTGTAACCTCCCTCTGACTGTCATGTCTTGTGCTGACGTGAGGAGACCCAACAGACTCTGCCATTGTCGTAGTGGCCACGGAGAGAGTAGAGCTTGCGAGATTGTCTGTTGAATCTTGAGCCATCGGTCCTCTGGTACTACTATGCGGTTCTGCGTCGTGAGGAACCGGGATTCCTAGGAATTGCAGGTCCTGTGTAGGTTCTAGGTCCGATTTGAAGAGATTCACTAGCCACCCAAATTGTGTAAGCAGTCTGATGGTGAAGTCCAGTTGTAGTTTGAGATGCTTGGGATCTTGATGTACTTGAATCCGTCGTCTAGATAAAATGCACTGCGTAGACCTCGATGATGTAGATATGTGACTATGGGCTTCGTCACCCTTGTAAACAACCAGGGGGCCGATGATATTCCAAATGGCAGGACCTTCCATTGGTAATGTTGTCCGTCCAGTGTAAACCTGAGGTACTTCCTTGAGTCCGGATGTATAGGAATATGCAGGTAGGCGTCCTGTAGATCTATGCTGGACATGTAGTCCATCGGACGGACGAGGTGGAGTAATTGAGGTAGATGTATCATGCTGAACGTGGGAGGTCTGCGTAGATAATCTCTGTTGAACGCCCTCATATTGTAGATTAGTCGGAACTTTTCTGTGGAGTTTTTCTTGGGTACTATGAAAACTGGGGAGTAGAAACCTGGTGTGATGTGGTCTTGATCCACGACTTCTATGGCTTCCTTCCCTAGTAGAGATGTAACCGCCTCTCGTAGCCTCTCTGTCCGATGGGTCTTGAAGTCGAACTTGTGAGGGTCGACTGTTAGCGGCGGAGCTGCTTGTAGTTGTATGCGATATCCGTCTCTTAGGATTCTGGATACAAATGGATCTTGTAGTAGTCCCAGTTCTCCCAGTATAGTTGAAGGCGTCCACCCACTTGTGAAGGTTGTACGGGAACAGCTGGTGGTGGAAGACTCCAGTCGTTCCGAACCCCTCTTTCATCGTCGATGATCTCTGGCGCCTCTGGGTGCCCTGCCTCGTCCAGGTCGTCCTCTATAGTTGCCGGCTGGGCGACGAAAAGAGTCCTTCCCGCCCCTGGAGGTGTTCATTTTCTTGTCTCTTGCTTTCTGGAGACCAGCGAACTTTGACTTGCCCGAGTAGCGCTGGGATGTCTGCCTGATGACACTGGCCAGTGTATCAATGGACCTTTTCATGAGGACTTCTCTGGAGTCTTTAGTGACTTCTTTGGCGGCGTCTTCAATCCCTCCAGCGAAGATGGATGGAGTCGACCATGGGGCTTTGTAGAGGGACTGAGTGAAGCGGTCACTCCAGTTGCAGGATGCGAGGAGACCTTGTCGTCTTGCCAACGTCAAAGCTGCGGAGATGGATGATAGATGGTCCGTCATAAACTGGTGGTCCTTCTTCTGCATGAGGAGCGCAGAGTAGATCATCCTGTCCTCTTCCGCAGTAGAGTCCCTGAACTTAGCGATGAGCGTCTCGTTTACTGTCCTGGATCTGTTGAGGCCGAAGAACATCCGCCTGGTCATCGTCTCTATTTGCGCCAACTTCTTGTCGTCGATCTTATAAGACTTGGTCTTGGAGTTGTTGATGACTTTGTAGTTATCGTCGATCTCCTGCGCTTTCAGGACTGGGTCATTGTTGTGGAACGAGAACTTTTTGGCGTTGAACTGTGGAAGATGCGTCGCTTGAGATTTCGTGGCCTTCTTGAAGGCTGCGTCTAAGTTATCTGGAACCTCTGAGATGGGATCAACTGGTGGTAGAGTGATTGTGTCGACATCATCTTCCTGCATCAAGTAAGTCTGGGCTGCATTCTCTTCCTTAGAGGGTGACGCTCCTCAGACCGTTGGCCATCCAGTATCTAATCTCCGAGTCCGAGAAGATGATCCTGCCGTCGTCCTCTGTGACAGGTGCGCTGATCAGGGAGTGTTGATCCTCCTCCGATGGTGATCTGTGTGGTGTCCTTCGCGGCTGCGGAGACCTGCGTGGAGACCTGTGTGGGGATCTTCCTGGAGACCTTTGTGGAGACCTGCGCGGAGATCGGCGTGGAGAGGAGCCCGGTGAACTGTGCCTGTAAGGAGACCTGCGCGGAGGTGAGCGCTTGGTTCGCGAATGCCTCGGTGAATCCCTCGACGATCTATGCGATGTTGAAGATGTCTTTGAGGCTGTGTCCGAAGTCCTTCGCGAGTGCCTTCACGAAGGATGATCATCTGATTCGGCATCTGGGGATAGGCGTGTCGTCCTTCGCGAGTGCCTTAGCGAATGCTGATCATCTGATTCGGCATCTGGGGATAGTCGTGTCGACGTTCGCGAAGGCTTGTCCTGAAGCGTAGCTCTGTTCCCAGTCGTCACGTTGATGGAAGGCATCCCCGAAGCGTCGTCTGCGTTGGAACCTTCGCGAAGGTCCGGGTTCGCTCCGCGGGCTGGTTGTTGATCATGCGATGCCCTTTCCAGTGCGAAGCGCCGGTCCATCATCTCCATGATGTGCTGTGAGAATTGCTGCATGAAGTCCCCCGGGTTGAATGTCTGCGGCGAGAGATGAGCTGCCCTCTCTGAGTTGGTAGCGATATGGCCCAGGGATCGCTCATCTGCCGTCAGTGTAGATACCTCGGACTGCGTAGACAACTGCGCTGATGTTACTGTTGCTGAGGCCCTCTTCTTGCGGTGATGTATCTCGGGGATGATGAGCGGCTGCTCATCGTAGAGTCCTCTTTCTGTCATCGGAACAATCTCGGCCGAGAAAGTTCTTGAAGTCTGCGCAGACGTCCCCATAGAGTTGGTCGTCGTCTTAGGGGTGTGTAGCCTTCTCTGCGTAGAGGATGGCTTCTTTTTCTTAGGCTGCGATGACGGGATGTCCGGAGCTGCAGCCCTACGCCCTTCCCCGAGGAAATCTCCGGCGCATCACTCGAGGGAAGAGGGTCGTCTGACATCAGTTGACCTGTGAGGGACTCAGCCGGCTTATCCATGACTTGGGTAAGCCGTCTCGACCTGTCTACAGCACGTCTAAGAACGCAAAGAAGGTATTTATTAAATGCAAAATTGGTTAAATGCTGACAATCATTGCAGCGTGAGCTGGAAGTACATGGCTTAGTGCAGCTAGGGCACAGTTGATGCGGGTCAGCAGCAGACAATCTAAATCTACAACGAAAACAGGATTTCATGAAACGTAAACAACTGAACAAACACAGACAAACCGTGAATAAACAGTGCAATATACGAATACTTTTCACCCCATATTGTTGTAAGATGCTAGCTAAACCTCTATAAAGCTAATTAAAGGGTAATAACTAATTAATAAAAGGATATAGTGCCGTATAGGAGACCCAGGTGCAATCCCAACCGCTCGCTAGGGCGAAAAAGGAGAGAGTGAAGCATGTGGGAACGGTGGCGCCACGGTTTCCCGCCAAAACGGATCAAGGGATAACTCTTGGTGAGTAGTGATTTTACGTCTGTTTTTATTGAAGGGAGCTTCAATAGGAGATACAAGTGTTCCACTAAGTTCGCAAGAGGAAGGAGACAAGCAAATAAGCATGAGTCAGGATAAGGGAAAATTAGGAATATCGGAACAGCTTTCTAATAATGTAAACTGATGCAATCCTGCACAAATCTCTGAGGATTTACAGCTGGGTGTTCCTTAACAGTAATTTTAACAACAAATTTTGGAATATTCAAACAATCTGCTGCCCTCTCCGCACTAAGCAAGCATCGTAACAAAGATTGTTGAATGGGCTGAAATCACGCTTTGTCTGTCCCTTATGGAGGTACAGACAGCCTTGCTAAATCTGATACCTAGCAAAGCCACATAACAGAGTGAATTACCTATTGGGATCAACTTGATGGGAGTTTCACTGAACTAAGTTCATCAATATCAGAATCTTAGAGCTTGCTACCTCTACAAAGAGATTCCCAACCATTTGTTACTAATGAGAAGTCTTCCAAGAAGGGGAAAGTGTGATAAATGTCTCTCAGTAAATTGGGTTAACTGTTACTTATTGTGCATTAACTGAATTACAGTTGTATTTTTCTCTGGGGCATTTGCAAATATACTGCTGTCTGTACTTGGAAATAAGGTAGATACAAGATTATGTTTAAAAAAGACAGACTGTAGTGATGTACACAAACCTCTTGATCTATCGTCTTCCCTGCAGTGCCTGTTCTCTTTCTGTTCCCAGTATGTGGGGTGTTCTCTCCACGGGTCTTGGGGTGACTCTTCTGGAAGACCTCCAGGTCACTGTTGACACATTCAGTATCCATCGCGGTTTGAAGCAGGTTCTTGTCAAATTCATCAACTTCTTCTGATGAGTCGGAATGGTTCTGTGTATTCTTATTGATATTGACAGAAAAGTAAGGAGATCTGCTTTGGAGTGATGTGGAGGGTTTGGAAAGGGATTTAGCTTTCGATGTACTTGAGTTTCCTGGTATTATTTCAGATTGACAGACTGTAGATTCTTTTGCAGGGGATGAATAAATAGTCTTTGCGGTGCACTCTTTCAGAATACTCTGAGAATGTTCAATGTCGTCATCAGTTTCCAGTACTGCTTTTGGGGGGGCTGTTCATGGGTATTGACTTTCTTGTGCTGCTCACCTGAACTGATGTCCTAGGGCTTGGAACCTGTGCTGATTTTACAGGACTACTAACTGGGGATGTTTCAGATCGGTTAGCTGGAGTGAGAAAATTTCATTAGAAGTTTCATCATCACCAATTGTGTCTTTAGCATCTTCTTAATCTCGCTTTCAATGAAATTTATTCCAAAGTAATCTGAATTTTACTGACATTTACCTTCGGACATGGGGCATTGAAGCAGGTGTAGTTTATTCCAGCATTATTCCAACTATTTAGCAGGGGTCTGTAAATAATCGAGTCTGGACCAGACAATCAAGTGATCAACATCATGATTATCCAATCCAGTTAGTCGTCTGTTACGACAAACATGGGTTGCTGAAGACCAATCCTAACTGAATGTCCGGAGCAGGTGTAACTAATTCCATGGGTACCTACCAAGATAGTGGATAATCCTCTACTGTTTCTACAAGTTCCATAACCTGCTTAAATGTGAGATAATGTCGACTAACACCTTCACTCAGTTTCATATTCAGACAGTCACCTTGGGTAGCATCAGCTGTGTTGCCTGTCAGTAAGGCCATCCAGTGTACGGGAAAGTCAGTGTATGTCTTGATGTTCGGCAGGATAAACCTCAGGTAACGGCTCCTCATTGACTCGGCTGGGTGCTTGGAAACCTGGAAAACATAGAATTACTTTAATGCCCACAGTGACAAAAAACATACATTCAATACCATATTGGATTAAACAAGGTCTTGAAACTACGTGAGTGAGTGAGTTTAGTTTTACGCCAATCTCAGCAATATTACAGCTATAAGGCCTCCTCCTCCTCCTCCACTTGTTGATCTATGATGACATAAATCCCAAACCGAGGGGTATATATGACCCTTAATACACTCATGTCGACTGCATGAAATCTGGCAATTATTGATGCAGATCCAAGTTGATGTTTAAACAGTATAGGTGTCCATTTCTGGGAGAAAAAGAGCGATGGTGATCAGTTGATCTATATACCAGTCAGAGAACTGCCCTCTAGTTCATCTATTGACTAATAATTGTGTAGGGGCACACTTGTATAGGTGAAAATTCAGACGAACATAGAGAAGTAGTTCCATGTTCAGTAAACTGCAGCAACTTTTTTCCCAAGAATAGAGCGGAAGTACATTTCCTGTTGATGGCCTTGGAACATAACGCATTATTTATTTGTAAATCAGTAGATATGAGGAGAGACATGCAATGTGTGGTGGGAAGAATAAAGCTGCAGCATCGGCAGGATGCAATCAGTGTGACTATACGGACAGCAATGTTATAGCTGTGATAATTGTATAAAACTATTTGATGAGAGAGGCGTAAACAGCATCTTTAATTTTAGTAAAATTGATATTTTATACTTATCCTGACTCATGTATTTTTGCTTGTCTTCTTCTCCTTGCGAACGTTAGTGGAACACTTGAATCCCCTTTTTGAAGCTCCCTTCAAGAAAGCAGACGTAAAATCACTACTCAACAATAGTTATCTCCCTTCCAGTTTTGGCGGGAAACGTCGCCACCCGTCTCCCAGCTCCTCACTCTCTCCGTATTTCAAGCCCGACACTTAGATTTGCTGGGAAATCCAAAAGTGCCTTGAGGGGAGGGTGGGAGGCCTTACCTCAGCATAAGTATAAAATATCAATTTTACTCAGAAAATTACATATTTTTCCTTATTTATCCCACGGATTTGGCGGTGGGTCATGCCACTTCTGGATTCCAAGCTTGGGGATTTACGTCCTGCATACCCCCCCTATGGGAACTTCATGGTAGCACTGTTAATTACTGCTAGGTTCTGCTGCTGCTGACCTTGCTTCCAGCTTTCTCTGATGGGGGGACCACAATTTGTCAACTTTTGGTCCTTTCTTCTGTTAACATTATATGTGGATTTGAGCAACTCCATCTCTTGATGCATGCATCAAGTGGAGAAGCGACCCTTCTTATGTACGAGTACGTCCTTACAAGTACAGGGTCTATCACTCATGCTAGTCTGTCTTAGACGTGCACATGGACTCTAAAGCTCTAACTCCCCAGAGTGTCGGCTTTTGCAAGTCACGTGATAAAAGACGAGACTCCGTCTCAGCGCCTTTGTGGAACTGTCAGTTGTTGTGCTACAACAAGCGGTCCGAACTGGTGAATACCGGAGTCGTCCTCGGTGGCGATGTCTCTCAGGTAGTGGTTGGCAAACGCCATGTCCGATTTCCAGAAGCAGCCCTCCATTATCGTAGTGATGGAGCAGTTTCCATGTAGAGCGAGTGTTGATGCCAGAGCTCCAACTTCATGTGGATTGGAGGCTTGTGAAGGATCAAGTCCTGCTGCTTTATAGGCCCTTAGGATGACAGCTCTCATCCATATTGATATCGTTGTGCGAGAGATCTCTGTTGGTGTCTCTGCCGATATAGGGATGAAAAGGCGCTTGAATTTTCGTCTCCTGGTCCTAGACCTTTGTAGGTAGACTTTTAATGCTCTTACTGGGCACAAGGATAGGTCCTGTGTATCCTGAGGCCCAAGGACTGATGATAATGCTGGGATGTGGAACTGTCTGTCAGGTTGACCTGGTAGTTGATTCTTTGCTATAAAGTCCCATCTTAGTCCCATATGTACGATGTTGCGGTGAGCATCAAATCGTGTCCGTTCAAAGTCCAGAGCATGTATTTCCGACATCCGTGCTGCTGTTGCCAAGGCAATCAGAAATAGAGTTTTCTGTGTCAAGAACTCATAAGATGTCCTATCTAATGGTTCATAAGCGTCACTGGTGAGATGCTGTAGAACTATATTGAGGTCCCAAGCCGGAGCTTTAAATCTCTGTTGTTGGTCCTCCAACTTGAAAGATCATAGTAAGGCCAGTATCTCTGGTACCTTAGTCAGTTTTACACTCGTCCTCATGGTGATAACTGAGCTAAATGCCGCTAGGTATGTTGAGAGTGTTGACCCTTTTAACCGCTTCGTTTGTCTTAGATGACACTTGAGGGTGTGTCGCTTTCATGGCTGTGAAGCCCTTCCTCAAAGCATAGGTCTCAAAGCTTCGCCACTTGTCGTCATACAAGTTGCGGGTTGATTTGCGTAAAGCTAGTGTGACTGCTTTCGTTGCCCTGGCGGAGTATCCTCTCTTATTCAAGCACGCCTTGATACAGACCATGTGTGTCGGCGGAACACTGTGGGGTTCCCGTGTGCTTGCTTGGTGTGCGGATGTACTAGCAAGTTCGTCCACTCTGGTAGTTGCAGTTGAGGAGGTCCTAGTTCTTGTATGAATATGGGAAACCACATTCTCGCTGGCCAATAAGGCGCGACCAAAATCAGTTGCAGGTTCCTCGTCTGCATGATTTTCTGCAACACTTGCAATACGAGAGCTGGAGGCGGGAACGCGTAAGCGTTTAGTCCTTCCCAAGAGATGCTCAGAGCATCTGTTGCCCATGCTCGTGGATCTGGTATTGGAGAGACGAATGTTGCCAGTTGATTGTTGAATCTTGTGGCTAACAAGTCTATGAGCGGAGCTCCCATCTGTTGTATGATCTGTTTGAAGATCTGTGGATGTAGCATCCATTCTGTTGGGGATGGTTGTGTCGGACGAGATAGTGCGTCTACTTTCACATTCTTGGCTCCTGGAATGTGGCATGCTTTTATGTTGATGTTCAGATTGTCTGTTATGCTGAACAGATGAAAGCAAAGGTCCAGAAGGGTCGCTGACCTTGTCGATCCTTGTTTGTTTATGTAGAACGCCACTGTGGAGTTGTCCGTATGTCTGACTGACTGACTGAGTTTGGTTTTACGCCGCTTTTAGCAGTATTCCAGCTATCCTTGTTTGAAATGGGCTTATTGTACCCATGTAGGGATTAGAACCACTTCTGTGGATGCTTTCTTCGGCGTGAGCCAACGCTTTAACCACTAGGCTGATTGTCAGTATGTACCATCAGATGAGCATTTTTTAGAATGGTGGTCCAGTGGAGTATGGCGTTTATGACTGCTTTCATTTCTAGCATGTTGATATGCAGACCCTTCTCCTGTAACACTTCGTTGTCGAGGTGCGCTTCCCATCCCTGAAGAGATGCGTCCACGTAGAGATAAGTTTTGCACTCCGGCTCTGCTAAGTAGGTACTTCCGCAAACATTCGATCTCAGAGTCAACCATAGTAGATATGGTTTTAGTCTGTCCTGGAGTCTGAATCATCCAGATGGGCATTCACGAAGACCTGTAGTGGGCGTCATGTCCTGTGCTGAAGTGAGGAGACCCAACAGGCTTTGCCACTCTCGTAGTGGCCACGGAGAGAGTAGAGCTTGAGATACCATCTGTTGTATCTTTAGCCAACGGTCCTCTGGAACCGCTATGCGGTTTTCTGTTGTGATGAGCCGAATTCCTAGGAACTGCAGGTCCTGTGTAGGTTCTAGTTCCGACTTGAGGATATTCACTAGCCATCCTAGTTGAGTGAGAAGCCTGATGGTGAAGTCTAGTTGTAGTCTGAGATGACTGGGATCTTGATGAGCCTGAATCCCATCGTCCAGGTAGAACGCACTGCGTAGACCTCGATGATGTAGGTATGTGACAATGGGCTTTGTCACTCGTGTAAACAACCAAGGGGACGATGATATTCCAAATGGAAGGACTTTCCATTGGTAGTGTCGTCTGTCTAGTAGGAATCTTAGGTATTTCCTTGATTCCGGATGTATAGGGATGTGCAGGTATGCGTCCTGTAGACCTATGCTGACCATATGGTCCGACGGACGAACGAGATATAGTAGTTGAGGCAGATGAATCATTCTGAATTTTGCCGGTCTGCGTAGATAATCTCTGTTGAATGTCCTCATGTTGTGTATCAGTCGGAACTTTTCTTTGGAGTTTTTCTTTGGTACAAGGAAAACTGGGGAGTAGAATCCTGGTGAGATCTGGTCCTGATCTATCACCTCTATAGCGTCCTTCTCTAGTTCTCTAGAACGGCTGGGGGTGGAAGACTCCAGTCGTTCCGAACCCGACCTTCATCGTCTAGATCCTCTGGCACCTCTGGGTGCCCCGCCTCGTCCGGATCGTCTTCTATAGGTCCCGGATGAGCGACGAAAAGAGTCCTTTCCTCTTCTGGAGGTCCCATATTTCTTTTCTCTTGCTCTTTGGATGCCTGCAAATTTAGATTTGCCGGAGTAGCGTTGGGACGTCTGCTTGATGACACTGGCTAGTGTATCAATAGACTTTATCATCATCACCTCCCTGGATTCCTTTGTGACTTCCTTGGCAACTTATCAATCTCTCCCGCGAAGACTGATGTTGTAGACCACGGCGCTCTGTAGAGAGTCTTAGTGAAGCGTTCGCTGCAGTTGCATGAAGACAAAAGCCCCTGTCTTCTAGGAAGCGTCAATGCTGCTGATATGGATGCCAAATGCTCTGACATAAACTGGTGGTCCTTTTTCTGCCTGGTCATAGTGTCTATCTGTGCCAGCTTTTTGTCATCAATCTTATAAGATTAGGTCTGGGAGTCGTTGATGATTTTATAGTTCTCATCTATCTCTGGTGCCTTCATGAAGGGGTCCATATTGTGTAGTAAGAACTTCTTTGCGTTGAACTGCGGAATACTTGGGGCCTGGAACTTTGTTGCCTTCCTGAAGGCTGCATCAAGGTCCTCAGGTACGTCCGAGACAGGGTCAATTGGAGGTAGGGTGATGGTGTCCACATCATCATCCGTCATTAGGTACGTGAGTGCTTCATTCTCCTCCTAAGAGGGTGAAGCCAGGTCCAGTCCGTTAGCCATCCAATATTTTATCTCTGAATCGGAAAATATGATTCCGCCATTCCTCTGTATCATGTCCAGTTGAATATCGTCGCTGAGTGTCCTCCGTGCATGGAGACCTGCGTGGAGATGAGTATGTAGAACTATGTGTAGTTCTATAAGGAGATCTGCATGGAGACCTGCGTGGAGGTGTGTGCCTTCGTTTCCGTGATTGCCTTCCTTAAGGCAATATGGTCCTTTGTGGTGACTTTCGTGGAGATCTGTGTGGAGATGTTGACATTCTTGATGACGTTCCTGAAGACCTGCGTGCAGGTGAGTGATTCTGTTGAGGGTCCAAGTCCTGAGACGCCTCTCTGCACCTTCTCGGAGGTGTAAGTTTCTTTCTCTGCGTTGCAGGTTGCCTGCGTGAAGGTCCTTCATTATTCACATCATCAGATGACAATCTATTTAGGTCCGGTGAACGTCCATTCCTTCGTGCAGGTTCGTTGAGTAGTGCAGAGCAGGTCTACCCTTAGTCCGAGTGCTAGTACCTCTAGCAGACATCGCAGGCGCACAACCTGTGCGGAGTCCTTCATGCAGCAATAGTCCCTCGCGCAGGTTGATGACTTGAGCATGAGAGCCACCTGGCTGTCCATCATGCAAGGTCCTTTCCTGCGCGAACCGTTTCTCCATCAGGTCCATCATCTGTTGGGAGAATTGCTGCATGAAGGTCCCGGGGTTGAACGTCTGCGACGACACATCTGAGAGGATAGCGATAGGGTCCAAGGATCGCTGTGCCTCATGGGTCCGTGATGCCTGCGTTAGGGGTAACTCGGACTGTGTAGATAAGGTTGCTGAGGTTACCGTAGCTGAGGCTTTCGTCTTCTTCTTAGGCGGTACCTCTGGGATGAGGATAGGAGGTTCGTCATATAAGCCTATTTCCTCAATCGGGACGATCTCAGTAGAAAAAGTCCTCTTATTCTGTGATGTGCCCCCCGGAAGACTTCGATGAAGGATTAACTGTAGAATGCTTCTTCTGAGAAGATGATGGTTTCTTCTTCTTAGTATGGGTTGAGGAATTGTCCGAAGTAGACAATCTTTTCTTCAAGGTAATGGCGGACAGAATCCCACGCCCATCTTCCGAAGACGCCTCCGGGAGATCACTGGAAGGAAGCATGTCGTCTGACAATGACAAACGGTTCCTTAAAGACTCAGCCGGTTTAGCTATGACTTGCAACAGCCGTCTGGATTTATCCTTAGCACGTCTAAGCAGAGAAAACTGATAATTATTAAAATCAAAATCTGTTAAATGCTGACAAATATTACAGTGAGAGCTGGAAGTACATGTTGTTGTGCAACTGGGGCACAATAGAGGCGGGTCTGCAGCAGAGAACCTAAATTTGCAACGAAAACAGGTTTTCATGAAATGTAAACAAACTGAACAATCACGTAAAAACGTGAATAAACAGTCAAAATTGATAATAAATTTCAAACCATATTGTAGAAGGATACTCCCTGAAACCGTATAAAGGTAATTTAGAGGGTAATATCTAAGTTAGAAAAGGATAAAGTGCCGTGTAGGAGACCCAGGTGCTCTCCAAACCGTCCACTAGGGCGAAGAAGGAGAGAGTGAGGAGCTGGGAGACGGGTGGCGCCGTTTCCCCGCCAAAACTGGAAGGGAGATAACTCTTGGTGAGTAGTGATTTTACATCTGCTTTTTTGAAGGGAGCTTCAAAAGGGGGATTCAAGTGTTCCACTGACGTTCGCAAGGAGAAGAAGACAAGCAAAAATACATGAGTCAGGATAAGGAAAAATTTAAGTTCTTTGCAAGTAAATTATACATAGTTCTGACTGTGCAGAGGAATAAATCTTATGATCCTTAAACCAACAACAGAGCTGGTGTATCTGAGACACTCTAACTGCTGTAGTCACTGATAATAGCAGAAGTGAAAAGGGGTCTTCTGTTTATCAATTTGAACTAAGTTTGTTGTGAAGGGTTTGACAACATCACTGATAAGATCTTTGAGTATTATATTTAGCTCACAAGCTGGGGCTCTAAATTTTGTCTGGTCTTCCAATCTGTATTATGAGTTCTGGGTTCTTTGTGATGCATTTTATAGCAAGCACCAGTTTCTGAAAGCACTTTAATATCAAATATATTCTATGTTTTGCTTTCAACTTAATTTATAGGATGTTTTGGATTATAAATGGGCACTAACACACACACGCATGCACGCACGCACGCATGTACAAACACATATATATTTTTAATTTGGCAAAGTGGTTAATGTTGAAAGTTTTGGCCACTTAAAACTCTACTGGATTGAGTGAGTGAGTGAGTGAGTTTAGTTTTACGCTGCGCTCAGTAATATTCCAGCTAGATGTCAGTAAATAATCAAGTTTGGACCAGACAATCCAGTGATCAACAGCATGAGCATTAAAAACTCTCCTGGAATGTGCACTTCTGCTACTTTCACAGACTGCATTTGTTCAGTAATGACTTGAAAGCTGACTCACCCTCATGGCATCACCAGCCATGCTTATGCCTTCCTTGTTCCTAAGTATAATCCACATTATCCTCACAGTGATCCCCACAACACCTTTTCATCACAAAAATCACTCAACGAGTTATTTAAAAGTATGTCATTCATGTGTACAATGAAACAACTGTTTTAATTTTGTGCCATATTGGCATCTCTCGGTATGTTGTAGATCACAGAATGGGATGAGTGCCAAATCATTCGTAATGTAACCGTAGACTAAAATCACCAGACACCATGTTGACCTGTATCCTTCAGAATTGCCTATTCTGTTCATTTCCGTAAATCTAAGACATGACTAGATAAATTTCCACATCATGCAACATTGTGGACACAGCACATTTGATCAGCTGTCAGACTAAGAGTCCAAAGGTTACTGGTTTGCATCAAAACTGGTTGCCTGTCTAGGTGACGTGACATGAGACTGTCCACACAAGTTGTCATGCTGAATTCTACAGGTGCTCCATAGTTAGAAGAGGTGAGGTGAAATGGGGTTAACGTTGTACTTAAGAATATTTCGCTCATATGACGACATGCATGCGTTGGCTGTTTGCACTAGCCCAGACTTAAGCTGGTTTTAAAGTGCTTGCCCACTGAGATACCATGCCGCAGTTAAGCATGAATACCCCACTCAGACACATTATTCTGACCCCAAGTCAACCAGTTCATGTTGTACCCATTAATGCTGAACGCCAGGCAGGGACCAACAAGTACCATATTTAATGTCTTTTGGTATGACACGGCCAGGGATCGAACGGCCACCTTCCGCTCTAACCGCTATACCACAGAGGCCGTACCATAGTTAGAAGAGTTTGGACTGGTTAGGGCATTAACAGAGCTACAGATAACCTTTTGGGTCATTGAGTTATGTAATCACTTGTGTTCATCTCAATTGGGTATCCTAATTTTCCTTTGAGTAACCAAATAAATTGTACTCACCTCACTCAAACTCAATAGGGTATTTTGCCATATTCCATTAATTTTGAAAACATACTAAAGTTTAAATGTTAGTGTTTTGTTATTTATATTTGATCTGTAATATGAAAAACGATAAGAAAGACTGCAAGTTGTCAAGTTCATGTCCTGAAATAGAACCTCTCAGTATACTTTAGTTATTTTACCTATCCACCGGTACGCAAGCTAAGACTTGACACTTTTTAGTGTACGCATGTAAGATCACATTTATTGAGTATTTACAAAAATTCTAGCATACTTGTATGCAATAGACTTAATAGAAATTCAGTTTTCACATAAATATTTGCGTAATTTACGCAGAGATACGCAGCTTATCTGTACCTCTGCATTAAACTGTAGTGTAGAAAGTGATTATGCCCCTACCTCAAAGAGATCCATATCTTGCCACACTTTCCTGCCATGCACCTCATTATAGCGACGCTCACGCACCAGATAGCCCACGATCCTCCTGTCATCTTCTTTGGTGTACTTCTGCCTCCTTCAAAAACAAAACATGGCAGCTCACAAACTAGTTGTCTGTTTAACACACTACTACTGTTCTGACACACTACACTGTTAGAAACGTACCCCTTCCTTTGTCTCTGGGTCCTGATAATATTTCTGGCGGGTGACAAGTCATCATCACTTGGAGATACTCTGCCAGGAACACATCTGTAAAGTCAACTTACCATCAATATCATACTAATAAATGCATGAAACATAACATACAGACTGAGTGTTGCCAAAGCAAATACAGACAGCTTAGCTTAGAGTTTTTCATTTGGGACAGATTGCTCTTAATTTCGATAAGCACATTTTGACTAAGAGTTACCAGCACTTTTCCACTCAATCGGTATATGTGTTGATGCAATGAACATATCATCACAGTACACGAAACTCTGCAAGAGTTTTGAGTGCATATTTCTCTGCATGATTCACTGAACTGAGAATTATTGCAAATAATTCAGCATTACAAAAGTGAGTGAGTGAGTGAGTTTAGTTTTACGCCGCACTCAGCAATATTCCAGCGGTCTGTAAATAATCGAGTCTGGACCAGACAATCCAGTGATCAACAGCATGAGCATCGATTTGCGCAATTGGGAACCGATGACATGTGTCAACCAAGTCAGCGAGCCTGACCACCCGATCCCGTTAGTCGCCTCTTACGACAAGCATAGTCGCCTTTGATGGCAAGCACATGGGTTGCTGAAGATCTATTCTACCCCGGCATCTTCACGGGTCGCATTACAAAAGGAAAGATGTATTTCACTATGTCTGCTGTATATTACATGAGTCAGTGAGTGAGTTGGGTTTATACCGCTTTTAGCAATATTCCAGCAATATCACGGCAAGGGACACCAGGAATGGGCTTCACACATTGTACCCATGTAGGGAATTGAATCCAGTCCTTCAGCGTGACGAGTGGACACTTTAACCACTGAGCTACCCCATTGCCCCACATTACAAACGAATGCATGATGCATATACACTGAACAAATGCCTATTGACCTTCTGTCAGGAAAATGAACATAAAATCCACCCCCCCAAAAAAAATACCCCCAAAAAACAAGCACAAACAAACTTTTCTTAAGTACTCTGAGATTACTGTCAAAGATATGGAGATTTAAGTATGATTTCCTGCATGTTTCCTCAATGTCTACAATGCTATACCTGAACTTGGTCATATCGACAAACTTGTTCTCTCGGACACAACACCACACAAACTCTGACTTGATATAGCCATCTGATGTCACAGAACCTCCTGGTTCCAGCAATCTGAAATATACGTGTAGTGTTCTTAGTATTACTATTAAAACACATGTATGGATGTGTTTACGAAAAAGCAGAGGCCCAGATAAGCTGCGTATCCGGGTAAAATACGCAGAGAATTTCCAATTACGCATTGAAAAATAATTGTTGCGTACCAATTACGCATTTAAAATGTTAGATACGCAAAAAGTTTAAAACAAATGCGTACTGAATATATATATATAAATTGCTTGCGTAATACAAAAGACATTGATTGCTATCAAGTTGTACTGTTAGCATAGGACTAGTGTTGTGCTGTCAGTATTTGATCAGTGATTTTTTATGAAATCATTTCCATTATATTTAAATGAAATACCCACTCAACATTCATAATACCCACTCCAAAAAAATACAGTGGGTACAGTACCCAGATGAGCTAAATTGTATCTGGAGCTCTGAAAAGAATATAAAAAACAACCAACCATTTACTCAGTGTATAAAACATAGCCCGTCCCACCGTCCCTGACGGTCTATTTTTGTGAAAGACAGTCTCTTAATTAAGTAAGGCCATCCTTTGGTCGGGGGAAATATTTGAAAAAAATAAATTTAACTTGGTTTGAATGAAGAGTTTTAGTTTTGGGGACAGACTGTGTTTGTTCAGGACTGGTCATTTTTTTGGACAGCTAGTCCTTGGACAGGCCACATTTCAAAACTATTTTATACACTGATTTACTGTTGTTTCTTTATTGTTGCTGGTGTTTGCCCTAGCCTAATATAACTGGAAGTGGAACTGGAATCATAATTGATTCTTGACAGTTGACTATGCAGGTACTGAAAATCATTCGTGATTAGCTGCAAATGAGAGCTTGTCAGTAAAGCTGTTCTACATTTTTACATTGGGTTTTCAAGTATTTCTCTATCTGTCCTGGTTTATTGCCACACTGAATGTCTATTGCAACATTTTCTTTTTCTGTTTTTGCATTTCCTGAGCTATACAAAATGAAATGACCTGTCAGTTAGCGACATCATAGACAACCCACTGTGACTTCATGATGTACAGAAGCAGCGGAATGTTTCGGCCAGCCACATACATGAAGTTGGGTTCATCAGTGTTATTACAGATGACACTTGTTGTCAGGTCATATCTGAGACATGTGGACACAAACTTATAAACCATGGACAGAATTTGTGAGCCTTGTTTACCTGTTTATGTACTGGTACATTATCTGGAACTTACTTGATGCAATTTCTTGTCTGTTTATTTGATACACTGCCACCACCATGCTGTAAGGGAAGATGAAACATCAACGGATTTCGAGAACAGAAATCCTGCTTATCCAGACAGTAATTTACTGATTTATGTAAAACCGAACCGTGCTGTGCCAAACACTCTTCTGAGTCTACCAGCCTATCCATCTGCATCCCTTCCAGTAGACTGCATAACTTATGTATGGGCTGGCTAACACTATGCTTACCTAAGCAGATTTCATTAAACTTAGGCTTCAGGCTACAGGCTTAAGCTGCAGGCTGTTGAAACACTGCATGGAGCAGAAGTTATATATGAAATAGTACAATATATCTATTGATGTGTGCACACTAATTCACTCACAAATGAACAGGACTATCTGTAAACACATACTTATATATGTAACTCTAAAGTGCACTTTTGATTCAGTTTCAGATAGTACCACATGGGGGGTTGAGCTCATGTCGCCTGCTTGAAGCTAGGTTAGGCTAACAAGCAAGTCCATGTGACCAACACCTGACTGTCTACCTTTATGCACTTCAGCAAACCTTGAAAGCTTGATAAAATTGAAGTATTTCCTAAAAACCTACATTGGATTAAAAGAGATACTTAACCTATATCAAACTCAAAACTCACCATAACCTAACCTAAAATATGTTTACTTGTGAAGCTAGAAGCTGGACAGGTAAAGACTTTTACTCAACATAACAACAGTCTTAAGTGTTTTAAGAACTGAACTATAGGTTGGAGTTTTTGTGGGGTTATAATTCATGTATAATAAAATGGAGTTGTTTGTGCAGTATGTTCCAGAACAGGAGCCTGTACATAGTCGCATTAATTAAACACCACCTGACCATGGGCAATTTTACTCTTTTTTGGTGCAAACAGGCAATCACACACTAGCATACTGGGAGGAATGTACTATAGGACAATCCATAGCTAGTTCTGTCTGGGACCAGTCAATATCAAAATTGTTTACAGGGAGTAGTTGACAAGACACAGTTACTGCAGCTAAAGGGTTTGGGTTAGTTGTGTTAGGGTTTGGGTAGGTTACTAATAACTATAATCTTAACCCTTAGACACCTGTTCTGATACCCATCAAAGATCATTTGGGTAGGTACACCCTTTACGTTTAAACCACCCTTTCAGAATCCCTAATTTTATTTGCGCCATTAATAAAATTGGGTATGGTTTACATATTTCTCTCAACAAATAATTAAAACATAATTTGAGGAAAACTTCACCTCTCATCTTATAATCTTTTGAAACTAAGCTTGACGAAGTTTATGCATTAACCAAATTAGGCAACAAGATAACATCCGGGTGTCAATATTATGCTGTTGTAGTGTTGGCTAATTTAGCTGACTGAGCCAAGCGTGCAGCGCAGTTCGACCCTTTGCTTCCCAGCGCTAATCAAGCCCTGTAAAGTCCACCGACTCCTAGTTCATATGAATAAACTCGTATTCCAGCCAATGCCTACATCGAACACACCTTGGTATAGTGCAAAGTCGTCTAGTTATATGCTGGACCAACCGACTCCCTAACGGAGACCTTGGTGTCCACAGTGACAAACACGCTAAATATGACCCCCCAAAATCATTGTTGGAAAGTTTAACATCGCAAGCCATTACTTCTATCATTGGTTTTAACCTCTTTCGTTCTGAACATGGTCGCATATAAAACGAGACTGGGTGACCATCCTCTGACACAAATAGCGAGCGACTGAATTTGAAGTTTTCTGCCGCCATTTCTGAGAAGAGGTCCATAAAAAATTGGCCCGAAACAAGAACACTTTGACTTTCATCTCTTTTTTGGAGGAATGGCAGAGTGCCCACAATTAAGTGAGCAAGTGTAAATATTCTTTATTTCAGTTCCCAAAATATTCAAAATGTGCATGAATTGTAGGCTCCATTTTAAAAGTTGGACGTTATGATTATTTCGTTTCGTACTATAGTTTGTAAATTTTGATATTAACGTGACAAACTCTGTGCTCTGCGCTTTGCTTTTTATTAGGATAAATAAAATGCTGTTGTTAATAGTGAAATTGTAGGGTGAAATTTACCTTGTATTAATTTAACGGCAAAATCCTTATGTCTAATAGGAATCCACGCACAATTACATTCGGAGTATTACACTACCAAGTGTGTGCAGGGAGTTTCCAGCAAGGTGAGCCGGAAGTCACATACTGACCTCTAGGGCTGAACTCAAAAGGATATAGAGTTTGTGTGTTCTGACCTTAATTTTGTTCAAAGATGGGAGAGTCCATGGCAGATCCACGAATGCGACACTTTGTCGAGCAAGAGACTCAGAAACAAAGATTCCAACAACTTGTTCACGGCTTAACAGACAAATGTTTTGAAATGTGTGTTGACAAACCTGGACAGAAACTGGACTCAAGAACAGAAACATGCATGGTCAACTGTGTTGAGAGGTTCATTGATACCACTAACTACGTTGTAAACCGACTTGAAAACACAAGGAGTTCAATGAGCGAGTAGTAGTGATGATTCATAGCCAACGTGATTTGACGGGGATGTGGTGGCCGCATGTGTGTGTGTGTGTTAAATGACATCTTACATGATGCAACAGCTTGTACAGTAGGCTCATTAGATACAGTGAAAAAACAATGTTCCACATTATGCATGATGATCATGATATGAATCTGACTGTAAACACTGTATCTTGTTCATAATCATTTCGGGACCGTTTCTTATTGAATAACACCCTATGAGAGTATGACTTTGTTGTTATCCCTATGTTTGTAAACATGATTTAGTTCTGAGTAGTATATGTTCCGGTTCGGAATAAGTGCAGTGAAATAGAGAATGGATAACACGAATATAAATTCCCGCACATACGGCAAATATTCCATCGAACAGGAACAAATACCGTAGGCCTAACCACTTTCAGTCATTATTGAATGCAAAATGGACTCGTCCAACTCGTCAACATCTGGGATTTCTCTAGCCCGAAATACACGTGAATCATGTTAGATCTAGGTGAAAATCAAATAAACAAGCGGCCATTTGCCACACACAGCAGGGAGGTGCAATAGACCGATTATGGAGGCAGAGGAAAACACTGGGCATTGTACTATGTATTGGACGAGATCAAGGATAAGTCTGCTCCATTGAAGCTTGTGATAACTAGTGACCAGAAATTAGCAACCATCAGAATGTGCCATATTTATCACTGTAAGTTTACCAAAACTGTAGATCAAATTATAATACAACCATATTTGAACACTTCTTCAGTATTGTCCAGATTTCGATCAGGACCCTTATCACCCGACATGTAGATATTATACATACATCCTTGAAATAATAAGTTGAAATAGATGCAGAGATTTTTAAAGAAAGGTGAACCATATCTAATGGCAGTTTAGGCTGCCCTATTACACAACCACCCTATTATATGATGTTAAACAAATTTAAGATTTAGCTTGCCTAAATGCCACTAAGTGAGTGCATATTATAAAATATTGTGATGGTGTTTATTTGGATTATTTAAAATATACATTATTTAGTTCTATTTTGCATAGCCATAACAAAAGATGAAACCAATTCCCACAAAAAAAAACAAATGGTGCCACTGACGACAATACTATATTGAGTCCTTTTATAAGGAACTTTCACACATGATAATTGCTTCTTGATAGCCTCAGGATTTGTTCCATATGGAACAAATACCGGAGGATTGAATCCTTTCTTCCTTTCCTTTCCCCCCCAAAAACCACGCCCCAATTTTTAAGACCATCCCAACAAACAAAACCCTCTTTTAGACACTTTAGGATGTGTGTGAAAATTCCTATTTACCCGGAATAAGTTCTGTGTGTACGGAACGAAATAATTGTTCTGCATGCACTATTACAGGAACAAATATTGGAATGAAAAGTTCCAACGGAACTTTTACTATGGGGGAACCAATTCTTTTTTACATGTTATCAAGGTTATGTACAGGACTGGTGTATAATTAAACTGTGCACATTGTGCATTTCCTGATGTCTGGCAGACTTTTCTGAGCGTGACGTAACGCTTACATTCAGGTCAGATTCAGTTCGCAAACCAATACAATATAGTATTAAGAAATGTATAATTGTAGTTCTGACTACACAACTGACCTTATGAAATGTTTCTGTCGTTAATGTTTTTTCACGTTTAATTAAAGGGACACTAATCCAGCGCAATTCCCTGGGACTGGTTGTTGCTTTATTGTTGTTTTACCCCCTCGACTACCCAGATGATATTCCAGAATTCTTGGACTGGGTTGCGACCTCTGCTGTGCCACCCGCAATCGCAATTGGTAGTATAAGGGTGTATCTTTACATTGATGAACAAAGAAGACAGTTTTGTCTTGGAATATGAAGTCATCTGTTTTACTCATTAATATCTTCATCATTATAATAAAACCGGAAAAAAAGTTGAAGTTTATCTTAATCTGCCATAGGTAAAATATGTTAGGATTGAAAGAAAACAGTCAATGTACGTCTTTATATTTTGTCTTATAATCCTAATTAATTAATGATCACATTTGTATGCACTTTGGACCTTCATAAAAAGTACATGATCTGTTTTTAGTAAATTTATAACATGACTGCAATATCTAGACATTTTATAGATTGCCTTAGTGAATCATATTTCACTCACACACACGCCCTAAGTGTGACATAGTGCATGTTGTCTCATCGAAGTACTTCACGGTGAAAAGAAAAGGAATGAAATACACAATGACATTTTAGAAAGTGGTCAAATGTAACATGTGTTATATTTGGGATTACACTTTCTTAGTAAAGTACAGATTCTAGTACTTTTTGGGTTGAGTCCCATCCAGGATTCGAACCCACACCCTCAAAGTCAGACACCTAGACCGCTCAGCCACCGCGGCTTCCATTGTGTATTTCATAGCTTTCGGCCGTGGTAGCCGTGCTAAATAACACTTATCAGAGGGATACACAAAGTCTGCAGTCTAGACTACCAATTGTCCGACTTCCATTCGTAGAAACCGCGGTGGCTGAGCGGTCTAGGCATCTGACTTTGTGTGCTGGCGATTATGTGCCTGACTCTGAGGGTGTGGGTTCGAATCCAGGATGGGACTCAACCCAAAATGTACTAGAATCTGTACTTTACTAAGAAAGTGTAATCCAAATATAACACATGTTACAAAAGAAAAGGAAGTCACAGTGAAATGTTTCTGTTGAATGCAACAACAAATTGATAAAAACAAAAGACAAATATCAAAATTAATATGAGGCTATTACCTTGTTCAAGGAATGTATCCATCAATACCTACATAAAGGAATGATAATCCATTCATCTGCAGCTGTCATGTGTCATTTAACAGTCTAATATGGAAACATGTATACAACGTTATAACAAGTGATAATTTCTCAACTGGTCATGTGACTGTTTCAAGTTTTTCACATTGGTGTATAGTCTCATTGGACACTACTTTTTATGTGGAGTCCCCCATTCTTTAAAAAAACCCAAAATTTAGTTAGACAACAATGAGCAATCAATCGATGTATTTTCGGTTAATCATTTGATGGAAGAACATTATTTATACAACAGGCACTTTACGACAGGATGTGAGGTGAAATGGGGTTTAACATTGTACTTAAGAATATTTCATTCATGCGACCACATGCATGTGTGTATGTGTGGCTGCTTGAACTAGGTTTTATAGTGCTAGCTCACTGAGATACAATGCCGCAG